AGCACCAAATACCTTATATAATCATGCTATGGCCCTTTTAATCTTTGATCCTTTCTATACAGTTGGAATGAAGTGACTCTGCTTTTGAACTTTCTTAAGACCACATTAGCTGAGAATTCCTGCTGATGTGATCGCATTAAAAACTTAACAGATTTTTGCTATACACTAATTTGGGAAATCATTTTGTTAATTTTTTTTACATTCAAAGTCTCTGGGGAATGCCGTCAACAGGTCCAGCGGCATGTCCGAGCATCGGGAGCGGCACATCTGGGCATTCTGGTGTCTGAGCTTCTAAGAATCTGAATGTTAGTGTTTAGAAAACTGAACTTTTGTCTTTGGGCACGGAGTATCTACCAAAAGGAAAAGCTGATCTAGTAGTTTTTTGGGGGAGATAGTAACTGCATGCAAGCTGTTATCGTTTCTGCAGAGCTGTCTGCATATAAAAAATAAATAAATATGAAGGAGTGCTACTGAGAGATTTTGCATGAAATTACCACTGTATTGCTGCATAGTCCAACTTAAATGGACCTGGGTTTGAAGCCCCCTTGCAGAAAATTGGAAGCAAAATAGGATTTGACTTGTTATGGGCTTTAAACACGGCAGTTTGGCAAAAGCCATCTAAGGGTACAAAAAATGTGGAAGATGGAACTCTGGTTGCATCAGGCTAAAATGGAACCAGACTGAGCTTGGATCAGTTAACCGTGCCGAGCTTGGTTCCTTATGACAGTTTACATACCACTCTAGCACAGTTCCTCACCTCCTAGTTCGATCTATGGTAACAGCAAACCAACATGGTGGCGCCCGTAACATTCAGGAAGTTTGCAGAGAGTCATGCGAAGAAGGCAGCCTTTGGTGAATTTACTTGATAGAGTTGGCTTTTGGAATGTGAATACGACAAACGATGGTCTAATCAAGGCTTACAGATGCTGGAAACAACAACAGACGTTAAGGCTCATTACACTGCTAAGGCGAATCATCCCTGGAAATCTTGTGGCGTGGTAAGGAAGCTAGTATTTTTATTAATGTCTGAAATTTCCTGTTTACGGAGGCTGACTGTAAAGAGATGATGTGGTCTGCTCATGCGCTATTTGTTGTCTGAGAACAGAGTCTGAACTGAACTGCGCCAAGCCCTACTGATAAACTAGTACCAGTTTTGCACGGTTCAGTTCAGATTGAGTACTATTTACACTCAACAGTTATCTCGGTTACCGTGCTCGGACCTATCTTGGCACGGTTTCAAAAGGGTAGTATAAATAGGGCATATGCTTTTCAGGAAATGACCGCTACAAATGAACATAGCACCGTGAATTGCTTTGCATTTTTCAAACTATTAAGAGCAATCACTTAAACTTAAAGTAGGGAAATCATATTTAAATGTTAAATCATTCTGTCTTAAACATGTATATAAATGTACTCTTTATCAGAGGATATTGTCCAAAATTTTGAAAATTTCTAATAAAAAAAAAAATCCTCTTAAAATCTGAGTTGTTTTTTTTGTTATCTCATGCAGGCCAGTTCGTTGAACGTCAGCTTGTACACCTAAATTCGGCCAATCATATATCAACGGTCATCTGAATCAATTATTCTTTATTACTTTACCATTGAGTTACATCCCAGTGTTCACTGGGATGGACGTCTCTGTCTTCAGCAGGTGTAGAGCTAACAGAACTGGCAGCGTTGTGAGGCAAGGGCTCAAACATGTACAGCTGTAAGCCTTCTACACCAAACCAAGCTTCTGCCGCCCTGGCGTCCTCTACCACAACAACTTCGTCCCCGCTTTCCTCCTCTAAATAAAAAATGTATGACAGAGGAGATTCATCCACGACCTCCAACACAAAACTCTCCTCTTGCATGTTTCCGCTGTTCATAGCGTTCCTTGACAGTGACGTTTCTAAGTCACCAATTTAGTGCTACTTGGTCCCAATGGAATTTACTGTTGGGAATCTACTAGCACTAAGTTGCTAACTGGTTAGCAAGATGCTTCCAAGAAACCGGCCACAATCAAACATGCTTGCGAACCTTTTGCCACAACAATCCCGCCCTCTTTATAAACGACCAGGCCAGGCCCTTTCTATACAATCTGTCTGAGTTTGACCTTTTTTGTAAAGAAGTTGGATCACACTTTTTTTTTTTTCCAAAATCAAACAATTATTCACTACTTTGTGTTGCTTTGTCATAAAATCGCAGTAAAATACAATTTGCTGTAGTGGAAAGGTTTGTTACTTCTGCACTACTTTTACTTCTGTCTAAAAATTGGTTTAGTTTGCCTGGATTACAGGATTTTTAAATTGAACTTAAACAACTGAAGTAACCACAGGTTAGTTTATAGGAAAAACTGAGAACACAGGTTGATTTTTAAGACATACTGAAAACATCATGCAGAGAAAATAAAAAGCTGCAGCTGTGAAGTGAAAACACCCAGATGCCAAAGGGGAAAACACCTGGAGCATCTGTTGGGCAGTTTTAAGATGCAGGCCGAGACATCAGAAACAGCTTTAGTTGTGGATCCATCATAACTACGCCAGAACAGAATGTACCATATGAATTCCACTCGATCCTCCCTACAACTGAATAATTCTGTTTTTTAGAGAACATACAGTGCAGTGTGGGATATAACCCTGGTTGCCTTTGCAAAAATTTTACAACTTTAATCATTAGTGAAATTGAAACCTATGGGAAAAGATCCTCCTAATATTATTTACATTAAATACCCCAAATGTCAGGTATTCATCTCTTACTCAGCTCTTCTAGATCCCCTTGGTAAAAGAAGCATCAAAGCTTTATCAGTGAACATTCATGCTCATTAGCATGTTCACTGAGCTGAGCAGGAAATGGGCCTGCAGCCAAGCAGGTTTAAATTTGGAAACCTTTTTGCTAATTGCACTGTTTCTTGCTGTACAATCTCTTGGTGTACCACTGCAGCTAATCAAGCCGGAGATCCAAGACCTTTCTGAAACCGAGGGAGAGAGAAACTAATCATGCAGAAAGTAGTAGTTTTCTGTTTTCTGTGCCTGTATTCTTTTGTTTAGCTGTGGCAGAAAAGTCAATACTATTTATAATCTCTGAGAGCTAAATTAGGACATGGTGCCAGGAATAAATGGATATGCTCATTATTATAGTTCAGCTGCAATGAAGATGGAGTTTTAGCTAGGATTGTGTTGTCCATGAGATAGAAGAGGGCTTTTGTTAGCACTGGAAGCTTTACAGTCTTTAGAGATTTTAATAACGCTATTTAGCTACAATTTTACATGGAACGATCGTTAAAACCCACCAGTGAAATCCATTTTGCTTATTGCATTACTCCATCACTGCATAAACACAGGAAAATTCCTAAGGATGCTAGTAAAGTTGATTAACCCTTTATAGGGCAAGTTAACGTTTTTGATACTGCTACATCGCTGTACATCTTATTTTGGCATTTGACCAATTAGATGAGCCCTTGAATAATACATTACATACTCTAAATTAAGTTGAAGAAACGGTAAGTCAAGAAAAAAAAGGTAAAAAAGTTAAAAGGTGAAAAAGTCAGTGTTTTTCATGAATTTCTTACAGAAGCACTTCTGTTATTTTTCTTAATATATTCAGGCAATTTGGAGTTTCTTGACATTATTTTTTGCCATAAAATATTCATATTTTTTCAATGTTACAAAGGTAATAAAGTCTTGTCCTGGATTCCAATATAACTATTGGTTTGACATTTTTATTTAAAAAGTATTTCACTGAGTGCCCTATAAAGGGTTAATGCTCAATCCCGAGTTGCAGGTTTACCACCTCTCTTGGGTGATCAAATTGATCAAGTAAAATAAAACTGAAGAGGAGAGCAGTGGGGTTTGTACAGCTGACATATCGAAGCAGTGTTGTATCTGAGGTGCTGCTAGACTCCTTCAAATCCTGTCATTTGTGGAAAAAAGTGCCCTGAAATCTTTACATCCTGGTTATGATCTAAGTAAGAACCTAAGCTGTTGTGCAAACTAAATATTGCAATTTTGCAGCAATTTACCAAACCTTTCCTACATGGGCCCTAAATGTTTGCAAATGTTAAACAAAGAAAACTCGACGGCAATAAATGATACGGACACACTGCAAAAAAAAAGATGTACACAAAGCTACTACAAACTGTAAAACTATACTTAAACGTACAGATGTACTTAAAGTATTTTAAGTTTAGCCTTTTATTTAACTGTGTAACAAACGCATTTTTGTATACGTTTTTAAACCTGTCTTTCCGCTTGTTTAATTTAGACACATAAACTGCACTCACAATCTGCTTCAGGTTTGATTAATCACACAGAGTGGGATCTATTTATGCCATAGCAAGCGTGTATTACAGCATATATGCAGCACTAAAACATCCCAAGTTTTAGTTTTTCCTTTTATTCTTCATAACATCAGAGTAAATATTTAAAAGTTAATCAGAATAAAAGTCCTTCTGTACAGCCTCAGTCTTTCTTCACTGCACTCTCAGTGATGTAACCAACTCTCTCTGCAGATGAGTCCACATAATGAACGGGTTTGTGCTAGGATGAGGGGATACGCTTTCCTTCAGGTCTTTGTGACATTTAGTAGTTCAGATGGAATAACAGCCACATCCTTTTATCTCCATCCACTGCTCTGCTGCTTTAAACATAAAATCCTAAATGATCTCACACAGGAGAGGGAAATGATGATGCTGGCTCCTAACCTTCCATCTCTAACTCTTGTCTTTATCTCTTACCATTCCTCACTGACCTGGCTGCAGCTCTCTCTTCACTGACTTGTACACACTTGTCCAAAGCAAGCAAACTCAATACCAATTTTGGTGATACTGTGACGGAGGTATTTTGTAACCAGTACTAATAATGATAGTTTCATTATTAACATTACAGTTATTTACTGTATAATGCTATGAATGCAAACAAAAATTTTATTTGTTGTAATTACTTGCACACTGATCAAACTACACTTGTAAATCTGATCCTATCGGTATGATCTGTGTAAAGTTTCTGTTTTCTGGTTTGCAGACCCGTCCATTTGACTTTGAGGATGGAGATGTTTACATGTCGTCCCACGAGCATCGCTTCCGGATGTTCAGCTCTGTGGAATACGAAGGACAACTTTACATGACTCCACAGAACTTTATCGAATCTGTGACCATGAGTGAACCTAGAAGTACGTATTGAAAAGTTCAACGTTGAATATTTTCCCAAAATGGAGTTTAGAATTTGTGTTTTTAGGTTTTTTTTGTGTCACGTATTTTTTGTCTTTTTTGGGAGGGGTGGATTTCATTTCAACAAACTTATAATAGGCAGACTCAATTCAATCACCCATGTAATCCTTGTTGTAAAAAAGCTTTTATTTTTCTGCTCAGAAGTTTTTTTTGTTTTTTTTTTACTTATCACTGGGTTTTATTTATAAAGTTGAGTAATTCTTCTTCTAAACATTAATCCCAATGTTGCCTTTGATATGAATTCTGTAACCAGCTTTGGCTTGTTTTGGGATAACTGTCCTGCTGTGTCCGACGTTCTGATACATGATCTAAATTTCAGAGTAGAGGAAATCCATAAGGTTATTTAAGAACAACCCAGGAACTACTGAGGTTCAAACCAGTTAGAAATGACCAGAACAGCAGTCTTACTATTCACAGTCGGACAACTTTGTCTACATGGACAATTCAAGTACCTCATAATAATAATAAATAAATAAATAAACAGACAAGGCGACGATTGAATCGTTTAGCCTCTGCCCATTTTGTGCAATGCACCAATACCAGATGCTGTAAAAAACACAATATTGTGATCCTTTGGTACAGTTCTTCTAGTTTAAAAAGCCTCATCTTTATGTTTTCAAACATACTTCTTGTCACTAAGGGTAAATAGATTTACAGGGTTTCCACAGGTCATTAAAAACCATTAAAAGTCATTCAATTATTATTATTATTATTATTTTTTTTTTTATTAAGGCCTTAATTGGCATTAAAATTCTGATTTCATGTAACCATCAGATAAATTCATCCCTCAATCATCTGAGTTATTTGCCTTAATTTGAATTATAGTCTAACTTATTGAAGTTTGCTGAAGTGAAATGACTTGTTTGAAGATTTAAATCTCCATTATTGTTTATTTGTTTCTATCGGCATCTGGCTTTGTCCGAGGCTTTTATTTTGCCATGTGTTGAGGCTGTCTGAGATTTAAGGTTTATGGCATCGTTGCAGAATCTGTCGGCCTGCTGCTAGTTGTAACAGATCAGGTCTGGGCAGCCAGCCTCAAAGCAGATGGTTTTACAGCTTTTGTTTAGTCTGAGGTTAATGTTAGTCAGACTTACATTCCATTTGCTCTCATGTTCTCTCTCACTTAACTGGTAAATATCGAAATTAGTGGGATAAGCTTTAGTTTTCCTCTTCTAGAAATGTGATTGCACACTGATGCTATCATAGGCTGTTTCTTTTTTTTTTCAGTGGTCGTATGATTTGAATAGCGTGCAGACTGTGCACCTGTATGTGTGTGTTTACATCTCCCCCTGGCTCGCTGTCATGCGATACAGCCGCTCGTAGCCCGTCGGCAGCCGCCATCCTCCTCTGCCTTCTTTGAAGTTGAATTAGATGAACTTTGTTGTATAAAACAGAACAAAAGTAGTATGTGCTTTTACAGGGACATTCCACACACTACAAAGAGAGGCGAGGGCCACTTCAGACAGTACAAATGGGTCTGCTATGATGAGTGTATATACGGCGTGTGTGTCTGTAGATGTGTGTGTTGTGACTGTACCCTGCACATTAGGACCCTTTTCTAGATCATACAGATGCTATCTGACCAAGCCCACCCAAGCTCTCTTCTCGTCTTTCTCTTTCTCCTCTTTGTCTTGTTCTCTGGCAGACAAGAGGCCATGGAGGTCCCTGACCAAACAGGTGGGAAACACGCTCTATATCCCTCCTTCTTCTGCTTCTCCTCACACACAGTCAATTTTTGCATGCTTGTTTTTCCCTCTTAGCATGCTCTTTAAGTACCTGCATAAAACAAAAAAGCTGCAGAGTTGCAAAGGACCTTTGTAATCTGTGAACACAGTTTTTAAAGTACTCTCTTATTTTACAGTAGTGGCTTTACTTTTCTTCTTTCTTGCATCATCATTGTGGCTCTTTTCTGTTTTCATTTTCATAACTTTGGAAAATAGAAAAGAAAATCAATAGTCCTTTAATATAGAAAGATCTCAATTTGGGGCATGATCTTCAACAATGAAATTATCTTTCATTGTTGAAGATCATGCCCCAAATTGAGATCTGAAATTGAGGGCTGAATTGTATGGGCAAAAAAAGTTGTGAAATAAACACGTATGTTGCAGGTAATCTACAAAGATACTGCCATGGTTGATATGTGCAAAACCAGTTTGGTTTCACCCCATTTGAATAAAAACTGTGATACTGATAAAGGGAAGCACACTTTAAAGTACATGTGTTTAAATTAACATAAGTAATCAGAATAAACAGATGTGTCATGAAACATGGCAGTATTCTGGTCGGATCCAGCAGGATTGGAATTAAGTCAGAATCATAGTGATAGTGGTGGTTTATGCCGATCGACAATCTGATCGATTTCCATGTGGCTGAATGACAGGATCGCGAGATTCTGTGCACCACGTTAAGGTGACATATTTCTGCCTTTAGTGACATGTTTTCATGATATATAATATTTTTTTTGCCCATTTAAACATATCTAATGACTTTATTGTTGCCACAATGACTGCAGAAACTGTTGCATGTTTATTTCAAACATGCTAAATATATATATAAAAATGCAGCCGTCAGTTTAATTACATTTAGTTTAAAAAAATGCTTGATTGAATATGATTTCATAAATTGCTTAGTGGTCAGTATTTAAATTTGCATGATCCCCCCACCCCTCATACATTTGCATGGTTTGGCCAGTAGAAAATGATCTGCATAAAAAGTTTGCATCCTCTGCTCCTTCTTAAAAAAAAAACAATTTGCACCTTGTTTAGAGATCAGCTTTGCATTTTCATGTCCTTTTATACACATAAATCTTTTAAAGATGAGGCCCCTTACCACACTATAATGCTCTTGAACCATAGTTTTCCTGCAAGAACAGAATTACCTGTAAAATGTTTCCCAGTGCATGGGACCTTACCTTTCCAACTGTTTAGCTATTTCTTCTTTAAGTTCACAAATTAGTTTGCCAGCCTATGTCTTTACTGTGTCTTGTGTCATCATGGTTTCATTTTTTGTGTGTGTTTATATAAGGAGATGGAGAAAATTTTGTCAGATACTCCTCCTGTATGGAGAGGATCCTCCAAACTGTTCCGTAATCTGAGAGAAAGAGGTCAGTGGAGACACACACTCGCACCATTAGACACAAACAATTTATCACTTCTCTATATATGTTGCCTTCTTTATTGCAACAAGAAGAGCCTCTTATTGTCATCTATTATCAACTTCTTTCTAATTAAAAAACATATTAATATATGTTTACACCACAATGTGCCTTCAAAATCAGATACTAAGAGCAAATAATAAACACTTAAATATTTGTATCAACAATATTTATATCAACAAATAACTTGCAGATAGTTGTTTTGCTATTTACACATATTTCCTTTGGATTTGGAGGATATTGTAAAATAATCCTGACACTTTCTGAACTGGCAAAATATTAATGTATGAATCCCATTTCCAGTACCTTTAAAAAGCGTAAGTATTTGTGAAAACAAGTATATAAAAATAAAAGTCAGTCTTTCTAAATTTTGAAGCCAAAATGTGTTATTTTTAATTAATGTTTTCTTGATAAAGTGAGGGCATTGTTTGTGTTTGCCATCTTGCAAGAGTTTGAATTTTATATTTCTGATTTATTGCTTCCTGAAAAAAACAAATTACTGTTTCAGTGTGACATTTTAGAGCCTGTCTTGTTGGGCTCATAAAATAAATATAAAAAGATCATGAATTGTAATGGTTGCATATTTTAAAACAATGTTGGTTGAAATCTGTTGCTTGAAAAAAATCAATCTGAAAAGCTCTGGAGAAAATTTGGGGGTAATCTGAGGAATCTTCTGGTCTTCTGCTAAATTTTGTGCACAATGCCTTCCTTTCAGTATCTGCTTAAATCGATGCTTGCTAGTTTTTGTTGCACTGTAGGTGTCACTAATCCAGGTTGTTGCCATGCTGTTCCTCAGGGCTAAACAGCCTGCTGAAATAATCCACCCCCTTTTCTTTCCTCTCCTCTGGTGAAAGATGAGAAATAAGCTTGCCCTAATTAAGCATTTGCTACAGAAGCACATAACAGAGAAATTGCACAGTCAGGGACTGATTCCCTATAGTGATAATTACACTGAAACACACACATGCACTTGGGGAGAGGCTAAATATAGCACGTGTGATTCACTCCCTCTCTAATGATACCAAAATTATGCTCAGGTTGTATCTCATGTTAGGGTTTGGCTTGGTCTACAGGGACACATGTGTAGGAGGACTTCTATCGTTCCCTTTTCGTTTGGAAGTGTAGAAACAAAACAGAAAACAGCAAGTGGGTAAGAAGTTCATGAAATGATCATAGCAATGAATAAGAGGAAGTAGAGAAGCTAAGGAATGCTGGGAAATATAAAAAAATAGGAGTAAAGTAATGATGAATATTGTATCTGGTGCACTTTATTTATATAAAAAATGATCTCACACAAAAAGGATTTAACTTTAATTACCTTTAAAACTTTAGTCTCTGCTTTTAGTGTATTGCGTTTATGATGGTCAGAAGACACTCATTTCGAAACCACAGTGTACCCTAAAATTATGAAACTGACTTTTGTGATCACCACTTGTTATTTCAGTGAGATTATTGACAATATATAAAAGTTGAAGATAATGAAATTCAATGTTGTGAGCGGTCTGATATTTCAGGTTGATTGGCTGAGGGTAAATTGAGAAGGCGGGGATAACAGTATATAGGTGGACTGCTGGCTGTAGTAAGGGGTCTGATGGGAAAGCTGCCATTTTGATCTAAGTATAACTACGTTCTGATGAAGGAGACCTAATAAATCACCTTTTGTTTTTGCTCCAACCAACTTTGCTGAATTTTTCCTTCCATACCACACCTCTCAGCACAACAAGAGGAACAATCAAGGGAGGTCAGGGATTAAATAAAGTTAGGATACGTTCACACTACAGGCCTTAATGCTCGATTCCGATTTTTTTTTGTGAAATCCGATTTTTTTGCGTTGCCGTCCACATTTCCAAATATATGTGACTTGTATGTGATCTCCTGTTTAAACTGCATTCATCCAGCTTATGTGTCCTGCATGCTCAGTAGAGGACGCAATGACATAAGCCAGCATGCTCTGTATTTACAGAAGTAAACATGGATATACAGGACTGTCTCAGAAAATTAGAATATTGTGATAAAGTTCTTTATTTTATGTAATGCAATTAAAAGTCATGAAATGTCAACCATTCTGGATTCATTACAAATAAACTGAAATATCGCAAGCCTTTTATTGTTTTAATATAGTTGTTTATGGCGTACAGCTGAAGAAACCCGAATATCCTATCTCAAAATATTAGAATACTGTGAAAAAGTATACTAGTAGGCTATTCAACTAATCACTTGAATCGTCTAATTAACTCGAAACACCTGCAAGGGTTTCCTGAGCCTTGAAAAACACTCAGCTTTGTTCAGTAAACTAAATCACAAGTATGGGGAAGACTGCTGATCTGACTGCTGTCCAGAAGACCATCATTGACACCCTCCATCAGGAGGGTAAGACACAAAAAGAAATTTCTCAAAGAGCAGGCTGTTCACAGAGTGCAGTTTCAAAGCACATTCACAAAAAGTGTGTTGGAAGGGGGAAATGTGGCAGGAAACGCTGCACAACCAAGAGAGGTGACCGCAGCCTTAACAGCATTGTAAAGAAGAGCCGCTTCCAGAATTTGGGGGAGCTTCAAAGACAGTGGACTGAAGCTGGAGTCCAGGTATCAAAAGCCACTGTTCACAGACGTGTCCGGGAAATGGGCTACAATAGCCGTATTCCCATGGTCAAGCCACTTCTGAACTCAAGACAACGGAAGAAGCGTCTGACTTGGGCTATGGAAAAGAAGCACTGGACAGTTGGAGAGTGGTCCAAAGTCCTCTTTTCAGACGAAAGCAAGTTTTGTATGTCATTTGGTAGTCAAGGCGCCAGAGTCTGGAGAAAGGCTGGAGAGGCGCAAAATCCAAGTTGCTTGAAATCCAGTGTGAAGTTCCCACAGTCAGCGATGGTTTGGGGAGCCATGTCAGCTGCTGGTGTTGGTCCACTGTGTTTCATCAAGTCCAGAGTAAATGCAGCTGTTTACCAAGAGATTTTAGAGCACTACATGCTTCCATCTGCTGAAAAGCTCTATGGAGATGATGATTTCATTTTCCAGCATGATCTGGCACCTGCCCACAGTGCCAAAACCACCAGTAACTGGTGTACTGACCATGGCATTACTGTCCTTGATTGGCCTGCCAATTCCCCTGACCTGAACCCCATAGAGAATTTGTGGGGTATTGTGAAGAAGAAGCTGAAAGACACCAGACCCAACAATGCAAATGAGCTAAAGGCCGCTATTGAAGCATCCTGGGCATAACACCTCAGCAATGCCACAGGCTGATTGCCTCCATGCCACGCCGCATTGATGCAGTAATCTGTGCAAAAGGATTCCCAACCAAGTACTGAGTGCATTAATGGACATTTTCAAATGTTTGATTTTGTTTTGCTGTTATATTTTTTTTTTACTTGGTCTGAGGAAATATTCTAATATTTTGAGATAGGATTTTTGAGTTTTCTTCAGCTGTACGCCATAATCAGCTACATTAAAACAATAAAAGGCTTGCGATATTTCAGTTGATTTGTAATGAATCCAGAATGTATGACATTTCATGATTTTTAATTGCATTACAGAAAATAAAGAACTTTATCACAATATTCTAATTTTCTGAGACAGTCCTGTAGTGCTGGAGCACATCTAGTGATCTTTCCTAACCTTAAAACCTCAATCTTTTTACGATGGTTAAACATAAATACTGCTCTCCGCATCATCGTCCGCCATCGTGTTTGTTTGTTTTTTTTTTGCCGCTTCTGTGTAGCAAGAAGCAGAATAGTGACCTATGTTGGTTACTAATGGCGTTCAGGTCGGATGAATGCACCGTGGCGTTCAGACACAAGTAATATTTAGTCTGTATTCTAAAAAACTCAAAGACTATAGGACACCTTTCAAACTACAGCAACATGGCTGTAAACCTTAAGCATATGATAAGCAAATGCAAAAAAAACGTCCTTAAGGGACACTGAAACACTACACCAAAACATGTAAAAGAAGGTTACCACATTCGATCAGTTTAAAAAAAAAAAAAAAAAAAACTTTAGCTTAGCTGCAAGATGCTGTGCTCAATTTCCAGGGCTAAATACCTGTTTAAAACTTATTCAACTCACAGGAGGATCAACCTAAACATATAGCTAGAGCTGTAATAGAAAGGTTTATCTCAAGGAATATTCATGCTTAAGAAGGGCTCAGTAGTAGGACTTGAAAACAAGAACACGGCTATTCTGTTTTTTCTGGGTTTAAGCTATAGAGCAAATAAGACTGACAAACAATTTTATTCTCTTGATTAACAAAGACGGTAGGAATATAATATAAACCTAAAAATGCTTTAATTTGTTAATTGCAACCAAACCAAATTCTAAAAACCCTGCATCATTTACCTTTTACTTCAATACTCTACACTACTTTCTGTCTCTACTTTACCAAATCCCAATAAAATACTTCAAAGATAGTAAAAAATCACAAATAGTTCACTTTAGCATGGCACCATAGCAGAAAGGAAGTACATTACCAAATGAATTGTTGGATATCTTCAGTGCTAATAGCTGTATATTGTAATTTCTTAAATGTTATACTTAATTTTTTTAAGCTATGTTGAAATGCTATGAAACATTGAACTAATGTGTTTAAATAGAACAGGATGAATATGTAGCTTTGTGAATGGGATGCGGGCTGTGATAACTGTTACTGAACTTGCTTATTTACTCAGTCATTTATTACGTCATCTGGCGTCTCTCTTATGCCGCCATTGTATTTGAATTTTTATTGTGACTTTTCTTTCCTTTTTGTATTTCTGAGAGTTTAGTTTTTGCCCCTCACAGGAGAAATACGGCGCTCTCACTTCTTATGGTTATGATTGGTCTGTTACCTTGAGCCCGCCCCTTTATTTATTGCCCGTTGCCAGATCAGTTCAAGCTGGATTGAGCTAGTGAGTTGATAACCAGCTTCATGGTACCACTGAATGTGACTGGATCAATGGGAGTAATCCCACTACATTGAGCTTGCTTTGTGGTACGGGCCTCTGGTTTGTTTACATATAGCTCTGCTCCTGTCATCATTATTACTCATTGTTCCCTCCTGGGATGCCCCCCCCCCCCCCCCCCCCCCACCACCTTCTCATCAGTACTAATGCTTACCAGCTGCTCACCTGCCAATTTAACTAGCCCTCAAACCAGTAACTGTTGCAGGATTATCTAAATCCTTAGCCTTAACTCGGGCATACACTGCATGATTTTTTTCAGTCATAAGAATTGTTTTGGATCTGGCTGTGGTGCAAGTGTACCAGAAGATTTTGAGTATATTAAATAACTACAACTGGGAGTTATAGTTAATAAATAGGTCATTCAAATCGAGGGTAAAACCAATTAATGATTATTAGCTTAATCATTATACCTGTAATGTTATGATGATATATATTATCATTATAACTCACCAGGGTTTATAGACTTTCACATAAATTTTGGACCCCTGGAATGGCTGTTAGAATTCAAGTTTAGTAATTTGGCTATCAGCAGAGTTATTCATCACCAACTAAAGAAATTGTCTTTTTTCATTTATATGTCAATCAAAGAAGGATAGCTCTGACCTGAGTAATAAATCAATCAGTCAATCGATTTTCTTTATTGTTATATTTCATATTGACATATTTCACACTTTATTCTTGACAGGATACAGTTTGAGATATAAAAAAAAACCTCACCACAAGAAAAGCACATCTAATATTGAGACATTTCAGCAGAGCGTCACATCAAAGGATGGAGCCACATTAAAATTCAATCAGACATTTTGAGCATCAGATGTGTAAATATGATGAAATGCGTTAAATTTGTCTATGAAAGCTGTCCACAGGCCATTATCCTTCCGCAATAACATCCAGGGGAGGTTTGATAATGGGGAGGCTGAATCCAAAATAACACTTATTGATTTGAGAGCAGGCTGCACAGGAATTTTCCATCAGCCTTCGAGTCTTTTCTTGCTGGCCACACATGGCGAAACCAATATTCTGAATTTGTTGGGCTTTTCTGACTTGAAGTAACCACCACAGCCAACAGTGTTCAATCGCACCCAGCATACAGCTCGTTCACAGCCTTCTTGAGTGCTGCCAGCAGCCTGATCAATGCCCATATTTCCGCTGACATCTTCTGTAATTGTCTTCCAAATTGAAACAGGAGAAATCCAAGTATTGTAAATCCGAAAAACCATAAATACATCATCGATATCCTCCACTAACAACATTGTAAAACACACCATCCTCCAAGCCTTCCAGGAGTCAATGGTGTATCCCACGAAATATGTCCCAGTAGGACAGGAAGGGTCCCGTTTTCCCCGTCTTCAAGTGGACAAAATTTTATAAATTTCATTGAGACACCAGCTGACGAGATCTAAATTTGGGTGATATGAAGAGAGGGCCCAGAAAAGAAAAGACACAGCAAAGCAGGGACAGAGCAGGGAGTTGCAGAGCAGCAGAAAAATGAGATTTAAAATTCCACCTGACATGTGTGACTCTGCGTAATGCAACAGCAGGTATTCATTTTTAGCCACACCCCTAAAGGCCAGCAGCATTGGAAACTAGAGGCTAAGACCTTTCTAAAGAGTGGCTGGAGGAAATTCTGCAACATTTCAGGTAATGTAACCGGTATGCGTTATAAAATAACTGATAAATCTCAGGAGCAAAAGCTTTTTCTTATGCAGAAGGTCTCCAATAATGTAAATCAGCATATTTCTCTCTCCAGATTCCCTTTTATGACTGGAAAAACGCATTTTTGCACTTTTGGCAATGTGCCAAAATCACATTTCCCCTTACCATATTGCCAATTCAGTCCAACTTTGCTTGAGTTATAGTCAAGCTGTGGATCTATAAACTCTGATGGTTCATCCAGAGTTTATAGATCCAGGGTTTCATGTTATTTTGCAGTTTTTTGTTGTGTTTTTTTTTTTTTTTTTTTTTTTCAAAATTTGGCAAAGCTAAATATTTTAGATATTTTCTTTGTTTATTCTTTTATAAATCAGACATGGTGACATTTAAAATAGTGGTTCCACCTGGAAAATATTCCTCCATGCCTTTCTGTCATACAAATACAAATTTGTATTTTCAATATGTAGTTTGGGAGCTATACCGTCCTCAATTCACATATGTAATTTTAGGCAGAATTTGCTCCTAAGACCCTCAGGGCTGAATGGTTTAAGATTTAGAACAGCTAGTCTAAATCATTCACTGCACAAAATAACCACAAAAGACCACGGATTAAAATACAATGGTACTTTATTAGCTGATAATCAGACAGTATTATTGTCACAACTGACTGTGTAATGACTACTAATGACTACTAAAAATAAGCACAAGTAAATAAAAACAAAGAAAATGGGTAAAAGGAGCTATGATATAAACTAAATAGTTCGGATATAAGACATGTATCACGATGTACACCTGTTTAGTACAAATAGAAAAAAAATTTCCAATATTATGTACTATAATTTGGCCGAACTCTAACCCTGAACTATCAGCTATCTTGATGAAATATAGCATCTCAGGTTGGTGGTTGGTAGGGCTGATCTTTTTTTTAAAGGTAATGTAAAAATAGGGTTATATTTGCAATTTAAATGTGGCTGATTTTTCACCTTGCCTTCATTTCAAATGGATAAAAAACAAAAAATAAAATCTAATCAATGATTATCATTATCATTTTTCAGCTGTATCCCACATTCCATGTGTCTAGTCTTGTGCTGCTCACCTAATTCTGTTGAAGTTTCTTGCTTTTAAATGGGAGTTCTGTTTTCCACTATTGTACGGATGGACGCTTCGATATTTGCTCAAACATAAATAACACAACTGACACTATATGCTCATTTACAGGGAGAGTCTTTGACTTAATACATACAGTTTGGTCTACTTGAATAGAAAGCCGGATGAATAGTAAACTAAACTTTACTGTTTTATAGCTGGGATCAACTGGAATTTATAAACTTGATTTTGTATTTTTCTTACTATTTAGTTTGAATTCATTTTTGTTTGTTTTTTCTCTAAAACGCATTGGGACTACGACTACATGATATAAATAAACATGAGTATTTTTTATATTGATTATTTGCATCCATCACAATTCCTCAAGTTTTATTTTTAGTCATATTTGTGGTATTGCCTTCCTTCACTTTTATCTAGTGGTTCACTGACCCTTTCATTCATTAGTATACCTCTGAAAGCATGGGAGCATAAACATACAGACTGTATGCAGAAACCCGAGTAGCTCCGGAGTGTATTTTGTTTTGTTTCAGAGCTGGAGGTGCACCAGTTAAAGTGAGTCCAGTTCCAAACCAGCTGCTCTACACAAAGCAGTCAGGATTGAGCTAAACACAAGACCCACTCTGACTCCAACCGGTGTCATGTTCACCATCACACGCACTAATGAATACATGCACAGCGGTGGGAGTCAGTTGAGCGAGTCACCCTGAACTATCTAAGCGATCAGAGAGAAAGTGAGAGAGAAAAAAAAAGAGCATAGTGCGCAGTTAGAGATTGTAAATGTGTCTGAGGAAGGAAAAAAATATCTCCCTAAAACTTGTTTCACATGCTTATCCAAACACACATATACATAAACACAAACGTGTCTTCCTCTGGACACTTTAGTCAACACTGTGTGGGGCCAAATGACTGTTGGTGGCTGAGATGGAAGAAGACACATTTTAAGATTGTATCGTTGTAGCCCAGAGGAGTATGTTTGTGTCAGTGTGTACGGCTGCGTGTGACACAAGCAACTTCTATAAACATAGTGCAAAAATGCCTTAAATGTGACTTCTAACTCTGTCTTGATCTCATTACTAGGAATCATCTCCTACACAGAGTACCTGTTCCTGCTCTGCATACTGACAAGTGAGTCATTTTCATGAAGGTTCGTCGTCTTTGTTTCTTTTTATTTCTGAAGCCAGTAGTTGGTTCAGTTCAGTTCTGCTAATACGCTAACTTTCCATCTATCCACCTTCTCCCGCTTATTCGGTTAGGGTTGTTGTGGGGCTGGTCCACATCTGCGTTCTATGTGCGAGTCAGTCAGGGTACACCCTGGACAGGTCACCAGTCTGTGGCAGGGCAAGGAAAGACAGTATTGTTTTTAAAACAATTGAATAAAAAAAAAAAATCAGCGGAAGAAGAAAGTCTTACTGCAAAAATAGCAGCAATATTTGTTGCTTCCAGTTTGCACATTATGTGTTTGTTACAAATTAAACAAGGCACTGTTACGGTGCATTTACGTCAAATACTTTCCTAAACCTTAGGATGTCTGGTTTAAGCAGAACATACACTGTGCAAAATTTTGATTCATTGCACGCAGCTACTGCTCAAACTGTACGACAAAACCGCAGGGTTGAAAAGTTCACAGATCACGATGTATGTTCTCACACTGTGCGGCCCAACGCTCTGATGCGATCTTATGACGGCCGACTGAATTTCAAGCAGGATTTATTTTTATTAGGGCTGCAACTAAAGATTATTTTAAAAATCAATGAATCGGCCGATTATTTTTTCGATTAATCGATGAATCAGACAAAAAATATTTTTTTATTTTAACCTCTTTATTCCAAAATAAACATTGTAGACAGAACAAACAAGCACACAAGTACAGGTTGCTCATTAACTGTACTGGTGCGATATGAAAAATAAATGTTTGTGTTAAAACTACGCAAGCTTACATGAGAAATGTAGCTGTACATCCACAAAATATAGGGTACTTTGTTTCATAAAGTGCAAAAAAAGACAGGCATTTTTGTTTTTAAAAGCCCCTAAGGGGTTCAAACAATAGGTCCCCCCATTTCAACAAATGAGTTTTTTTTTAGACTAGAAGAGTTACAGCTGGACGTTGAGGATCAACCAATCAGAGAAGCTGATCCAGGAGCTGTTTGGTAGACAGCATAAAACTATGAAAAATGACTACCGGTATATATAAAGGGTTATTCTCCACGGGTCTTAACGAAAAAACCAGAAGAACATATTTTTTTATGCAGAGAGGAAAGTGGGAGTTCTGTGATCATTATAAGTACACCAAAGTATTTTCTCACTGAACTGTGCCGATACAGTGCATTACACCTTTGTTGACTGAAAACGTCGATACCTGCTTGCGAGAAATATTCAATTTCATACTCTGAAATCTACTATCAAGTTGTATTCCTTATTTTTGTCTTTCATCAGTTTTGCCAAGGTTCTTTAGTTTCCTAACACAACCACAGAATATTTACTCAGCTCTATGAATGTCTCAAAATCAGTATTAAACTTTAATCTAATAAAGTCAGATCAATATTACTGGCCAGGCTCTCCCGTTTATGGTGAGAGAAAGGTTTTAGTTACAATTTTACAATATGTAAATGGTTGGATTACAAGAGAGAACTAATGTCAAATATATCAGTAAAGCCTAGATATAAGGCTGTAATTGGTGTTTTCTAAAAATCTCAGTACTCTGGCTAGTGGGCTGTGCCCCCAAACAGTGCAGCCTATTCAGTCATAGGCGATTCATTCCTCCCAGCCAATCCAACCTATGGATTTAAAAACACTAGTTTTATGATTCTAAAATGTACCTTTTTATCTTATTGATTTTATATCTAACAACACAAACCTAAAAATATCTTTCTATTAACTTTCAGCCTCTGCAAATGGCAACGGGAAATCTCTGACAGCCTGGTGCCTTCAGGGAACTTTCACTAATGACTCCCAGCACTATCTGTCGTTCTGCAGTGCAGTATGAACAGAACATTTAAATAGAATCATAGTCCTGATGAATTGATGACATTTTAAGGTTTACTTTCTCTCTTAAAAACATGTTGAATCCCCTCTCTACTGCAAGGGAATAGAGCAGAGCAGCTCAATGTCAGGAGCGTCGAGCATCCAGAGCTTCTTATTTCAAAATGTAAAAGCGTTCAAAGTTGAGGCATTTTGATGCTTAAAATGTGTTTTGTTAAAACGTACCATGAGAACAGTTGTTTTAATTTTTTTTTTTTTAAGAGGCGTCACCCCCCTTTTTTATGTGTGTAAATTTGAGTTTAATTCTTTGTCTGTGTAGTTTTAAAACCAGATGCTTAAAAACCCAATCCAGCTGTAGAGAAAAAGCCCTGTTGGACTTTAGACAATGAGCCAAGATTAGATTTTAGCAAAAGTTTTTGGACAACTATGAAACAAATTTTTTCATAATGAACAGAATAAAGATTTTTCAAATCACAAACTGCTTTTTAAAAAGTATGTATTCAATTTTAAATTATGCTCTCCAGTTTTGACAAGTCCTGATCTTGAAGGTCTTAGAACTTTGTATTTTCACGGTGGCCCTAATTACAGTAAAGTATTAAGTGTTTTGTTCCCTATAAATTTTTCATTGATTTAACAGTCTTTTAAGGAATTTAAGTTTAGCGTGGAATCATCCTTTGTACGTTTGATTAGCTAAAGCATTTCCAATGCTGTCATGACTTGATAAAACAAAAAGATAGTCCTTGAACTTAGTCCCTATTTGCCTTTAAGCCAATGAAACTGAACCTTAAGTTAACATTGTATAAAAGAATAAAAGATCCAGTTATTCTAAAAGACTATGGTACTTCTGTGAGAAACTTAATTAATTGAAATGACACAGTGTTTTGTTTTCTGGCTTTAAAACTACCTTCACTAAACACATACATGCTCTCACACTGTGTGTGTTTTCCTATCTGTTCTCCAGAACCACATGCTGGCTTTAAGATTGCTTTCAATATGTTTGATGCAGACGGCAACCAGATGGTGGACAAGAGGGAGTTCCTGGTGGTGAGTTCCTAGTACAAAGAACATGTACAATCTGTGTTATTTTTGCTATTAAATATCTTGTTAGCCAATGTTTGAAAATTATCTTTGAATAATATTTAATAACAAGTCAAAACTTGGATCAGTTTATGAAGTGAACATTTAGGTTTTGTAATTCTAGTTGATTATTGCTCTAACTTATAAGTGGCAGCAAAATATGACGGATATTTAAAGTTAAAATAGGAAACCATACAAAATATTGTACACAAATTTGTTTATACAATAAAATGTGGTAAATGTGAAACACACTTTATGCATGTTAACCTTTTCATTTAAATAATCTATATCATGCAGATGTGCCTTTTTTAATTCAACCTCTTGTTCTTTATTTTTAAAGCACTTGAAAAAGGCTGATTAGAAGTGCACCTTATTGAACAGCTAAGCAGAGTGATTGTAGCATTTCTGGAAGGGCTTCATGCGTGTTATTTTCCCAGCAGGATGCCAGTTTTTAAACTGAAAACGCTGCAGGCAGCGAGGGATTGGAGTGAGTGAGGAGGTGGGTGGGAGTGGGGTGGTACTACAGCAGCAGGGGGTGGTAATGGTTTAAAATCCTGTGGGAGCAGCCAGGTGCTGTTTCCCACATTGAAACTTGTAGCAATAGATCATGATTTCTGTTATTTCCAAGCATGAATAGTCATAGGAAGAAAATGATTTCTTTTTACATCACCTGAAAATGAAAGAAGAGAATGGCGATGTGGAAATAAATTGCCATCACAGTATCTTTTATATCAGTAGATATCGTCATATATCATGATGTGAGACAAATCCTATTTTTGTATAACTTTAATGTTCTCTGGTAATAATAAGTGAGAGCAAAAGGTTGATTTTGATTCAAAGATTTATTTTTAATAGTTGAAATGTCATCAAATGTTTATGCCCAAGGAGTTGGTAACTAGGGTGCTGCATTAATTAATATAATTCTTAGTTTAGTCTTGCATCTTATTAAAAATAGATGCTTCTCTTGGGGTGCACATGCCTTGCAAACGCAAAAGTTCACAGAAAATTCAAAGTACTACACAGTACTACAAATACAAAAACGAGACTAGCAAACCCAAAAATTAGGCTAACACACAAACATAAAAACACATGCAAAGGGAAGATGCTGGAAGGTTAAAAGCTGCAAACTAACAAGCAGTTATACTTTTATATATTTTTTCCTCTTCTGTGTTTGTGGTATGTTTTAAATTTGCAATGATCTTATGCACAAACGTTTGCACCCCTCCACTACTGTACTTCTGTCACTGTGAAGGATAATGCTAGGGTTTTAACTGCTCTTCCTGATCTGGTATAAACCAGTCATGTTTGTCTGATGCTTAAAATTTCAACAGAAATTGGGTGCTGCAACAATATAAGGATACAGAACATAAACACAGCTTGGCGTTCATGTGATAAAGTAAGCCGACATTGAGATTGTGTAGCAGCCTTGGTCTCATTCATTGTCATCATTTGAAATGAGTGGACTGAGAGTAAAGCTGAGGACCAAGAAACCAAACGACTGAAATGAGCTTGATCTTTTCTGTACAAAAAAGTTTGAATATCCTGATTAAAAAAAGCCAGAAGACTTTTGATGTCTATAAAAAAAAGCATCTCTATACTTTGCTAAGGGCGATAATTCCAAATATTTATAGAGTTTTATGTGTCTGTTTCAGCCTATGGTGTAAATAAAAAAAAGTACTCAAACAACTGCTCTTGAAATTGAAATTGAAGTCGTTTCTTAATCATACTAGTACGTAAAGTTCAGACTGGAAAAGTAAAAGTTTTCACCTGATTATGCTAATTAAAAAGCTTCCTCCTATTACAGCTCCAGGAAATCTTCCGTAAGAAAAATGAGAAGAAAGGAAGGAGAGGCGATGCTGAAAAGTCAGCTCAGTTGGTAAGAACACTGTCAGACATGTATATAAGAGGGTGGCACACAAACACCTTTCCAGCCTTTACAGACATTGGCTGCTCCTTACATCTAGTTAGTGAATTGGAGATTTCAAAATCTCTAAACAGAATTGATGAAGTTTGCTGTAAAAGTTGCAAGTCAAAATATGTTTTATAGGACTTTCTAATAAGTTGGAACATCTGTTAGTACAAACAGCCTATGTCAATTTTCAGCCTCACTGTAAATTAAATGTGTTAAAGCGTATAAAGAACATGATCTTACTAGTTCATGATCTATAGAAATGAAAACAAACTAGACCGTCATGTGTATATACTGCAGAGTGCATGCTATGTCATTAAGCTAATTGTGTGGTATCACCTCTGCTATTATTGTCTATTGTCTGCTTAATATATTTGATATGTTTTCAAACTGTGTCTTACCCACCTCTGTACAGATGGAAGCTCAGAAACAACCAGCAACCCTGCATTACAACACAGCCTGCATTTATATGCATTTCCATATCAAGGACCACTTACCTGCAGTTGTAGGCTATTTAATATCACTCCAAATGTTATTCACATTGGATCACATTGTAAAAGAATTTTTTTGATTGACATAACTGTTGATCACTGGTTGCATGTAAAGCGTTTACAGCAATCTACAGTGTTGGTTTAACGTGCCTCAATAACTTCTTCAAAACCACTTGATTACTCAAAACTAAAGAGGCAGAGTTTAGATGGTGCTAACCTCAGCAGGGATTGATCCTGGATAACTAAGGGAGTCTGTTTATGCTGTGAGCTATCAGGGTAGGACAATACAGGGAAGACCTAGAGAAAACAAAAAAACAGCCATTTCAAATTTATCATTTAAATCATGCAGTTTAAAATCCAATTTAAAAGGAGTTTGTAATTGAATATTTTATATTTGAATGATTAAATTATTATATATTTAATTTTTTTATTATTCAATGATTAAATACTGGGATTTGAAAATATTTTTTTTCAAAATCAATTTCTAAATTGAGATTTAAATAACATTATTCATAAATCTGATTATAAATGTATTTCCTAATCACACATTTTAAAAGGTAATTCCTTAATCCATTTCCTTTTTCAACTAGCATTTTCAAATCAAAGCACTTGCTTGTCTTTGTCGTCCGCTCTATTCAGCTGGCTTTTGAAACATACGGCGAGAAGGTGGGGGCCAGGTGGTGAGGGTTACAGGGGCGAGAAATGCAAAAGTAACATAAGAGTTACTTTTACTAGTAACTAGTTAGTTTTATTGTGGAGTAACTCAGTTAGTAACTCGGGTACCTTTTGGAAGAAGTAACTAGTAACCATAACTAATTACTTTTTCAAAGTAACATGCCCAACACTGCCTATACGTAGGATTGTCTAAGCAAACAGTAAAAATTTAAAGAATTGATTCAACAAAATCTCTCTTAGTTTTTGTAAATTATTAAGTTATGCTTCGTGTTTCATCCTAGAATCTATTTACCTTGTTTCTTAAAATTTTGTTTGCACAGAATTAGTTTTTTTGACATACCATTGGACATAAATAAAGTGTTAAACCCATTTTCTTCTATAGCAATGAGAGCACCATGTGTAGAATATACAGGGTTCCTACAGCGTAAGGCAAGTTAAATTCAAGACTTTTTAAGACTTTTTAATGGAGGTGTTGCAGATACAAGGGTGGAACTAAACCGAGAAATACCGGCTGTTTCTCGGTAACTCTATTTCGACGCTTTGTGTTTTGTGCTTCGCATGTGCGACTCCACTGCCTTAATGCCCATCGTTCCGAGCTTGAATGACTTCTTGCACAAAATACACTGAGCCTCATGTATGTTCCCTGGTTTTAGCCATGGAGAAAACTCTTGGCTGAATAGCCAATTTTAGTTATATTTACACTTGCTCATATTTTCCATACAAAAAGTAAATGGTGCATCTCCCAAATGTCCCGGCCACAACAACGCTTTTATTGGTTCCACTATCGGGATGGAACCAATAATGGCGAGCCGTTATTTTTTTAATATAAAAAAAATAAAAATTGTCAATTTTAACGTTTTATTTAGATTACAAAATAAATCGTAATAAAAATAATCCTATTTATGTTTTAAAAATTAAGACCTATGAAAGACTGATTTAAGACATTTTAATACCAATTAAGGCCTTAGTTTTATTTTAAGAATTCAATGCCTTTTAAGACTTTTTAAGGACCCGCGGGAACCCTGATATACATTAGTTTATGCAAAACCTTAATTTCAATATCTTTGAAGCAGAAATATGGCTTATATCTGTGGTCAATGCATTGAATTTTTTATTGTTTCACCTATAGTTCAATCCTGCTGAGGCTTATTATCACAAAAAACAGCGATGACAGTTATGTTTCACTTCAAAGAGATGAAAAGAAAAACATTTCGTTTGTCTTACATACATCACGTCACACAGATGATCAGAGTCAAGCAGTGCTTACTGTTGTAATGCAAGGTATGTTTTCAGAAATTGTAATCTCAGCTGTGTAGTAAATGACACATCCTCCTTCCTTGCATGTACTAACATGTATTTTCCCTCTTTTCCTCCTCCTTCGTCTTTCTGACTGCATGCTCTGTCCTCTTCTGTCTCTCGCTCATGTCTCTCTCTGTGTGTTAGACTATGCAGCTGTATGGATATCAGGTTGCCCCCATGAGCAGCGTATGTATCCCCAGTTATAATTTCTTAGTTTCCTTTGGTTCTATTTTGACATGTAAAGAAATATAGATGTTAATGAGGGAACAGAGCACAACAACATGTTTTTTTAGGTTAGGTGAGATAAAAATTCCAACTCGAAACTTGGTTTTAGTATTGAAAAAAAAGGAGTATTCCTACAATACAGTCCTCCATTTAGATTAGAAATATTGCTTTTATAAAATGGCACTGAATAAAAAGTTTAAAGCTTAACTTATAGAGGTTTTCTTTTGTTTTAGTAAGGTGTGTAGTGAGAGCAGCACACCACAACAATCTTTAGGGAAACAGCAGCTGTAAAATACAAACAACTTTATGAATAACAATATTCATCAGTATCTGTATTGACTCCAATGTTGAGAGGGGAAATATCATTTCATTTTGCAATAAAAAAAACCCAGAAAAGTAGCTATGTTTACATGGTGATAAGGAATTGGAATAACATTTGTAATCTGAGTAAGGGCGGTGGTTTATGCCAATTGAAAATGTGATCTATGTGAGTGTAAACGTTTGTCAAGATGAAGTTATTCCGAGTGCTTTTATGTCCCCCACATCAATGTGACTCATTTCCACTTTGAGAGGCTACGCCTTCTGGATAAATGCTGACACAATATTCCGATTAGCATTTTATTCTGATGACTTATGATTATTTAAACAATCCAATTATTATTTGTTTTTTTTACACATTTCATTTCCATCCTAAGGTTTTGTGCAGGTTAACATAAGTAGTGACAAATCAGACATCTTTTCGAGTAGAACATGATATAGAAAAACTAGAATTTCAGTTAGAAAAACAACTTAGGCTCTTTTGGTTAAATTGCTTGAACTGTTTAGCATCTCTTTATCCAGGTCTTTAGTAAAGTAGATGGTTATGCTGGGATCTTACTGCTGTTTGAATCATTTTAACAGCCCCTTAGGTCCTGTGCAGCTAATTCTAACAGCATCCGACATTTCTATACCTGGAAAAAACACAGCTAGATCTAATTTATCTGCGTGGTCTAATTAATCATAGAGGTGAAACTGAACGAGCCGTTTTTTATATAGTAGAATCACATTACTCCTCCCCTACAAACTTTTATGGTTCTCAAGGCGAACAGGTCATCTTCATTTTAAAGACGATTTAAATGAACAGAAAAAGATGCTTAAGTAATTTGGGGTGAACAGGGTGCATAAAAAGGGTGCTATGGACAATTTGGAAATTCTCTGGGCGTATCTGGGCATGCATCGTGTTATTCATTTAACTATTGTCAGTTTAGGATTATATGACCACTGGGCTTGCCATTAATTCAACATTTGCTCTCCAACACCACTAAATAACCAATCTGGAAACCATTCTGCAGTCCTTTGATTAAAGACAGGCTGGCAGGTTTCTAAGCTAAAGCATTTTTAATAGCTCTAGCGAAATCTTTATTAAGTATTTTCATTTACAGAATTTCTGCCACAACTTTAAAAAAAGTCTATCCTGGATGAGAATGGCGATTATCTTTTATATCTCCATGTGTTTCAAGTGCACTGATAGTGATTTTGATTATTTGTTCTTAGGATTTGTTGTAAATAATAGTTTGGGAATGAGATAAAGGTTTGTTAATACCAAATAAAACTGTTTGGAGAAATATATAAGGCTTATGATTTAGAATCAGTCAAATAGATAAATAACAGTTGGCATTAGGTCATTTATCTTAGGTTTAAAATACGTCACTCATGGCCGAAATATGAATTGATTTGGCCCAGTTCATCTGATCCTACGATTCCAGGAAAATCCCCAATCCTGAGGTCTTTAGTGGCTTGGTAAAAGAATATATGCAATTGGAGGTTGGGTGTCCATCTGTCAGGCCAGCTGATTGATTTCACCCTCTAACCGTGGAGGCAGTGGGATGAATAGACACAAGAATAACAGAAACAGAGTAATACATTTAAGAGGTCAGGTGAAATGAACTCTTACTACAAGTGGGATGTGGTTTAAAAAGGCATGATGCTCTAAAGCTCCAAACACAATCAGCCTTTTTTTCATTTGAGAGCATGTTTAGGTGCTATCTGGTCTGTGTGTGTTTGGGGGAGGTTCGTTATTACAAAGAGAACAGCTGATTTCATTATTGGTGAAGGCCTCTCAGACTGCTGTTTGCATTGTCTGTGCACATCAGCAGTATTTCTAATGTATAATGATACATCAAGAGTGTGGCCTTTTTATTAATTTGCAAATAAATACACACAAAGGGTTTATAATTTAAGCCCTTAATAGTTGACTGAAAATAGGTGGTAAATTAAATTAAGCGTATTGAAAGATGATGCTTCGACAACTTAGAGCAAATCACCTTTATTAGTAACCAATGTTTACTTCTGGCAGCCTCACATCTGTCTGAACAGTTTTCCTTTAACTTTTTCTTTCCACTAGTCTATCTAGCTCTCTGTTGCACACTAACACACACTTCTAGTGCTGTCACTGTTGTGATGGATAGCTCTATTGTCACATCGAAGTTAAGAGTGGTGCAGGGTCATGTTAAAATGGCTGCAGTGGCTTTCTCCCCAGAGAGAAACGCCGAGGTGGGTGGTCAGAAGCCTTTCGCTGTGCCTGTGTCTATTTAACTAAGAACACACTCTGCTCTTAATGCTGTTATAGTGGAATTTTACTAGAGTAGTCTCTTTGTATAACCTTAAAAAAGTGACTGAGCATGTAGGGTAACAGTTAAATAGAATGATCGCCCTTTAAATTACTTATAAATCATCCCACACTGCTCCTATTAATGCCAGTATTCACTGTAGTCCACCTTAAGAAAGTCGTTTTAGGTTTTAACTCCTTGATGCTAGGTTTGAGTTTTTAAATCTCTTCCTCTCCTTTTGTTTAAGGGATAAAGAACAAGGTGGATTTTTAACCATTTTAATTTTTAATATATGGGGATGGGGATGGAGCTTGTTTATCTAAAAACATTTACAGCAACATTGATTAAGATAGTTTATTATTTTGTTGATTCACTTTTCAAAAAGTTGCTCCACTCTGGTTTATTTTCACACACTAAAATATCTGTAGAAATGACATTTTCAATTCATGCAACATATTCATTTTTGTTTTTAATAATTGAACCACTGAAACTACAGTTTTTGCAATACCCATAAATAATAAAACATGCAGATTTTTTTTGTTCTGTATGGGATTCCATTTGAAAAAATACCATAAATGCAGGGCAACAATAAATGTGATCAATTACTATTTTATTGTTTTTTAGAAGCATATCAAATAGCAGATTTATTTCCATTGAGTATTTACAAAGTGATTCTACATTGCATAGAAACGTATTTGTAGTAAAAAATTATCAAAGAAAAAGCTTTTGAAAAAAATGTAACTTGCAGAGATAGTTTTTTTGTACTGTAATGCATTCTAAAAAGGCAGGTGAGAGCTCAGTAAGGCTGAAAGGACATATATCCCTACAAACAATGTAAAAAAAACTAACATTAAAACTGATTATAAATAACCATGGCAAAAAATTACACAATTTTTATTCACAAAACCATGATACCAAAAAAAAAAAAAGATCAGCAGGGATGTCCTGATTCTTGTCGTGTAATAGTTGAAAACATGAAAAACTGTATTTCAGTTGTCTTAGAACTGATTTCTCATTTATTGCTGTTGCCTGTTTAAAAAGCCTTTACAACAATGTATTTTTTAGAGTTTTTTTCATCTACGGTTTTTGTACATGTGCAAGGGTAAAGCAAAGGTTTTTGTTCTGAGAAAAAGGCATTGCTTTTCATACGTAATCATGGTTTTTGAAATCCATTATAAGTTACTTAAAGTCCTTAAATTAATTAGGAGTTCAGTTAGTTTATCATTTACATTTTTAGTCTTGCCTAATTGTTAGGAATTCATTGTCTTTCTTTTTTTTTTTTTTTTTTTTTTTAAATAACCTCAGTTAATAAAGTTTCCGATATGAGGAATATTTCTCAGACTTTACCAGATGAAAATAAAAATATGAATAAATTTAAATGAATTATGTCAAGGAATATTTACTACCTCTTAATTCCATATTGTGTTAAGTCATATTCTTCTTTAAAATGTAGAATGTATAAAAAATGTTTGAGCATATTGACAGTAAACAGCATAGATATTTCTTGTTTGTGCTGAATTAGGCGTGAACTGATCCTCGCCCTGCTTGAACACTCCTACAGGTGCTAAAAAAAGACAGTCAAGAGTTTGTGGCGCGGAGTTACTGGGACGTTTTGAGGCGAGGCGCCAGTCAAGTCCTCTTTTCTGACCTGGCAGAGGTATACAGACCCAGTTGTCCCTTCATCCCCCCCATATGTCATCCTTCATTTTATCAACCCTTCTTTAATACTCCCATTGTTTAAAAGAAAAAAATCTGCATCAGATTTAACTAGAATACAAAGAAACAATCGTTCCTCCTCAATTTCCAAACCACTGTGTTCCCATCTGGTCCCTTCATTCTGCTTTTCTGTGTTTCTGTGCCGTCTTGTGGCTTCGGTGTCACATAATAGGTAAACCTTTAGACTTTGAATGACAAGTTTGTTCTCTTTAAAAAAAAAAAAAAAAAAAAGTTTAAGAAATATATAAACAATATTTCAGAATCTAGAAATTGATTTTTACCTAAATTATACAAGAAGTAATGTGTAAAGGAATACTGGGGTCTCTTTAAGAATTATCAGCACAATTATAAAGTTTAATTATTCAGTTTGAAGGATTTTATTGAAAGGGGTACGTGATTCAAGGCCGTAAAGAGGTATAAAGTTATTCATACCTCAGCAGGTTAGCGTTTCCATGTATTTTATCAAACATTCTAGTGAATTTAGATAAAGAAAAAGAATCTCAAGATGTTAATGACGCTAAAAATGCTGGAAAACACAAATACTCATCAAAGCAGTTGACCCATAATTGAGGGAAATATATTCCAAAAGAAATCTATTAAAACGGCAAATCCAAATATGCCTGCTAACGGCAATTCTCTAACGCAGTTATTCTCTAATGGAAATTCCCTTTTTCTTTCAGTTGCCCAGCATGTGTATGCACTGATCCTGTTTAAAACTTTCTAATAGAAACTAAAACTGCAAGTGGAATTATAATCTGGAAATCTAATCAGAAGATTCACATTTTTAAAGGTATTGGTAAAGCTGTGTAGAAATATTTCTGAATATAGAAGGAATTACCTTATTTAAAGACTATCTATCCATGCCTAGCTTACTATGATGGCAAGTACCAAACACTCTGCTCTGTGGAATAAATAAAAATACCTAATTAGTAACTAGAAGAATTGTAAGAGGTGTCTCTAAATTTAGTAAAACAATCTAAAAAGTAAAGATGGTGTCTCTAAATTTAGTAAAACAATCTAAAAAGTAAAGATGAATCTGTTAATGAATTGCATTGCCTTTAGGATGTAGTTCACTTTTTAGTTAACAGGACTGATGATAGCAATTGTTTATATTATGTAAATACAAACAAAAGTTCTGCCTAATTGAAAGTATTAGCAGAGAAAGCTTTTATTAAACAGCAATTTTCACATTTAACCTTAATCTTATAGTTTCAGGTTTGAGTTCAACTTCCAAGAATAAAAGGACAGTGCAATGATTTGTAATGATTAATAAGAGCTAGCTCAGTGCTAACAGGTTAGCTGACTAATGACAGACTGAGTGCTGTGGTTAGCAGCGGAAGCTACTGTTGAGCTAATGACAGTGCAGCTCCTCAGGGCCGACCTTGTATTTACATGGAGCAGTCTTTCATCTCCTGGGATGCAGGGGGGACAGGACAGGCGAATCAGACAGAGTCAGGAGCTGATAGCAGTAGCAGAGAAATCCGCTGAATTATTCAAATCATGCAAATCTGTACCGTCTACTTGTTATTATAGCTATCAACCCAGTTGTTGGCCAAATTGAAAGAGGGATTTACATTGAGTAGCATAACTCTACATTTTGGCCCCTAAAATTGATTGATGAGCCATTTTTTTTATTGATACACATGAGAAAGCTTAGCTAAAAACCAGCAGTGATTTTCGGGAACTTTTTTCTTGTTTTTTTTTCTGGTTAATGTTGTCATCTACTTAGATAAATTATTTTAAAAAATCACTAAAAAAAACAATAAGAAAGTCTGCAGGACTAATTATTCTTTGATTAATAATATTTTAAAGGATTTTAAGTTGGTAATACCTTGATATTCAAGGCTAGTTGAACATTTTTGCACTGCACTTTGGAGTCATAGTAAAAACCAACAACAGCCTCTGTCAGTTCTATCTTTTTTATAAAGCTTTGAAAGAAATCTAATCAATTCACCAGAGATTCTAAAATTAAAATAAAACTAAGAACACCTTCAAATGAAAAGGATGCACTTTCTTTTTCCCCATCAAAAAGTTTGAAATGTAAAACAACAAAAGTCAGTCACAACAAAAAGTGTGAATTGAAACAAATCTAGAGGAATCTGATCTGATTCCTGAGGGTAAAGAAAAGCAGAAAGAGATCTAATCAGAGAGTCAAACAAAACAAGGTGAGAGAGGCCAACAGCAGATGACACAGGTCAACAGACAGAACTAATCTCAAGGAACAAAGTGGGTGAGAAGAAAAGCGTTTCGGGAAGTACATTTAGAGGAAAAGAAAGAAACAAGGTTGTATTTAGAGAAAGATGTGTTTACTCAACGGATCAGTCACTATTATACCCATCTGCCTTTGTCTGTAGAAGGAGGAATTGACTGACAGGCAAAGAAGGAGGGAGGATAAGAAAAAGAGCAAAGTGCTTTGGTGTTTGTCAGGTGAAGAAGGCAGTGACAGGTTTTATGAAGAGAAAGGAAATCAGAGTATTTAGAGCAACAGAGGAAAGAGAGAGTACATCGAATTAAGAAAGGTAAGATTAAATAGATCGCAGAGTAAAAAGCATTAAATGAACAGATGTGAGTTGGAAGAGGGGAACATTCTTCTATTTTCATGGCACACAGACAGGACAAAAATAATTTTTTACACACTTTATAGCATAGAAGGTTATGCACAGCCCTTTACTTAAAAAGGAAAAAGATAAAAGCTATTTCAATTCTATTTTTCATTTTAATAAAAAATATTGACATTTCAGCTAGTGATGGTCACTGCCCTCCTTTACACACAGATACAGATCTGCTCTATGAAAGTTTGCAGAAATCATTAAAAGAACATCAGTCAGCCAACACTGACGTTTTTGCTCCGTATGAGAAAATAATAACTCTGGTTGAACCTAATGCTCAACATCATACTGAACATACACTAGCAATGCATGGGGGTGGAAGTATCATACTGTGGGGTTAGTTTTATCTGCAGGCATCAGGAAGAGGTATATACAGGGCAGTCCTGGAGAAGAACACTGCCGCTTCAGTAAAAATCCAGCCAGATTTACATCTTAGTAGTTTTACTGAAAGGTTTTTCAAGTATTTTAATGGCTAAGTCAAATTCCAGTCCTAAATCTGTCTGAGAAGCCATGGAAATCCTTGTAAATTACTATTTATTGCTGCTCTCCATACAGGCTATCTGATCGCGCACTATTCTGCAGCTAAAAATAGGAAAAAAATAAATGCATCAATAGGATTAATTCAATGGGGATAAATGCAAATGTATATCAAACTTTCTAAGGTTTTTATTTGTAAAACAATTTCTAAAACTTCTAAAACTTTTTTTTTTTGCTTTGCAATTATCACATGAAATTCTATTAAAATGCATTATAGTTGTAACCTAACAAAATGTGGAAAGGTTCTATAGATGTTTTCACGGCCAGAAGATGTCACTGACTGATGTGACTAACGACCAGCAATGAGCTCTTCCTCATGAGTCTTACTCACAGGTCGGGAGGGTGAGGAGGAACGTTTAGCGTTTACATCAGTAATTACTGTTTTTTTACACTCGGCGTCCCGATCAAAGGCTCACTAAGCTCGCAAACCAACCACAGGTGGACAAATAGACACATGCATTGGCCAGGTGTTGGCTCGTGCCTTATAGGCGTGGTAACCATTACGTTGTCAGGAGGATGATGAGCTCACACTGCTCCTGACACTCTTCCAGGAAAGATAAGCTTGTTGTGATCAGTCTTAGTCAATGGAAGAAAACATACCTACTAAATGTGTGCAAGAACAAGAGCTTTTTGTGCTGATCAACAAATTTAGACATCTGAGAATAATATTTAATTCCACCCAGGGATCTTGTTCTACGTAACTCATTGAAACAGTTTCTCTCGTCTGCTGCCATTTATCAGTTTTTGTTTCCTATTTAAACCTGTTGTTGCAATAAAGAATAAATTATTAGATGATAAGCTGCTCGAAAGGTAAAGCAGAGCCAAGTTAATAAGAAATCGGTTTGTCAAAGTTAATTTCTTATTTAGATTTTACAGCAGGTTGCCAATAGTTTCCTCTTTTTAAGAGAAAAGCAAAATAGTTGGGAGGGGATTCCAGTTGATAGAGAAGAGAGGCAGAGACGCGCCATCTGGATGCAGTCTAGCAGTCTGCAAAGTCTGTGTGTCATAAAGACTTTGGTAATGTGTCAGTCCAATGATAAAAGAGCATAAGTATGTTTATGCAGTTTGTCAGTAATAACAGGTTAAATAAAAAAACATCCAGTAAAGTGACACAAGAAAAGAAAAACACAATTAAATCACCTGAATTTCATTTGGCGGTAACACAAATACAGTTTTCCATAAGATAAATACAAATAAAGAAATGTAATAAAGTTTTGAAACACAGAACTTGTCACAGAGGAGCAGCAGGTGCAGATTCTTCCCAGGTCCATGAATACATCAGTTTGTCATTTCCTCGATTGTCTGGATTCTGATGAGAGAACATTTGATGTTACCAATAACCTGAGAAACTTAAACAAAATCTATTAGGTGGAAAAAAAGATGAAACGCTTACATAATATGTTTGCTGAAGTGGACACAGCCTTTGGAAACCATCACATTCAATCTAATAAGAAAGTAGTCAGAAGGCATCAGCTTTTCTACTGAAGTCTTTCCACATTTTTTGTATTTAAAGAGTTACAGTCATGTTCTATATTACTTTTTAAATGTACACACCAGCAGCTCACTTTGGTTGCATACAATTCTTTTGAAAATGTTCTCCCCCTGCTGGCGTATGATTTGCTCTTTTGTTTTTTGCTTTGTTTTTGCAGTTTTTTTGATAAAAAAAAATCCCTTCATGTAGATTTATAATAACAACTGAGGTACAAAACTGCACGTGTCTGCAGGTGGTAAAAAAAGGGAATTATAAGCTAAGCCATTTAGCACCTAAATGGGTATTTGTAAAAATAATGAAGAAAAGACCAAGGTCTAGTGTGAAAAAAGTGAAAATCAACTAAACGTGTGCTCCATTTTGTACAGACAAATTAAGTGATTATGCATATTTAAGCAACAACTGAAGATGCAGACCTTCTAATACATCAGAGGGATTTCACTGTTGAAAGTATGAAAAGGTACAGAATGATCTCCAAGGGTTTATATTAACCATGGATCACCTTAAGGATGTCTGTCATCTGCAAGAGAAAATATGGTGCAACAGTGACTTTATCAACCTTTACAAATCCATAGATAAATGAGAAGAAAATGATCTCACAATCTCATTGAAGTATCCACATGCATGTGACATCAGACTGCTGTATACTTCATAAGTCTCTGTTATTGGGCAGGGTGAGAAATGGTAGCCTTTTCTACTGAAGGAAAACATCCAAATCAAGCTACATATTTCCAAAACCCATTTGAAATCTTCTAAAAACTTGTAGGTAAATGTGTCATGGTCCCATCAAACCAAGGTTAATCTATTTGGCCTAAATAAAAAAGGTATGTTTTGTCCAAAGATGAAACTAAACATCACAGAAAGAACAGCATATGCAGAGTGAAGCATGGTGGGGGGAAACTAGGGAACTATAGGGAAATCTGAGCTGTCACATCACCAGTCAATGATAGAAAAATTAAGATAAGGAGGAGAAATTGAATTTAAAACCTTTGCTAAAGAGAGTTGGCACAGAAGAACAAAGTCCTAAAATCCAAAGGTACATCCACTAAGTATTGTTAAACACTGAGGCAAAATTTGTTTTTCACCAAAAACGGTTCTTTTTTTTTCAATGAAGTTTTAAAGGTTAAAGATCGCATTGAATATAAAAGAAAAAATATTTAATTAGCTTAAAAAACCTCTTCCTTTTAAAAAGGTTGTGTAAACTTTTCTCTTCTACTGTACACCTTGGCAGTAATTGTACAATCCCCTTCACTTTGCTTTGGATTCTAAAACTTCTAGCTCTATCAAGAAATCTGAACAAAAATTGTCCTTAATGGTGTCAGTGTACATTATACTTATTTATATAATTAAAACAGTTGACAAAAACAAGCCTTAAAAAAAAAGATCTAAGAGCCTATATCAGTAACGGCCTTTAAAAAACGTTATCTTTGGTAAAAATCTACACATTTTAAATGTTTTTGTTATTTTACATGATTTTCTGTGAGCAATTTAATGTATTTACATTGTAGATTAAGCTGAATGTTATTTTTTGAATCAGAACAATTAGCACTAAGTCAAGCAACCAAAATAGGTGCTTCAAGACACAAAAAGAAAAAAATATATATAATCTTAAGGTTATTTTCTTTTATTAGTTTTACCTGTTTCAGCCTTCAAATGAGGCACATATTTCCATGCGACTAGGTGTGCCCGTTTCCCAGCTGAGTCACTGTTGTAGTATAAGGCAGAGATTATTAACAATGAACAAACAGAACAAAAAGCTGTTTACTTCTTGTCTTGTAAACTTTTGTCATCTTGTTTTGACTTGTCCTTCTTGTCCCATGTTGGACTGTAGGATTTTACTCTTGAGGTAGAACCACGGATGGCATCGTGGTGATATTTATGATAATGGAAATTGCATAAAAGCTCATTTTTATTCCAATGACATGAGATTTTTATCGGATCTGATGTCTGCGTATGTCTCAGCATGGCTGGGTGGGGGCATGGGGGGGCAGCAAGATAGAAGATGGGCTCTCTTTTTCCCCTGATTCTTAAAATCATTGTCACCTTTCTCTAGGGGTTATTCGTGTTACTTAACATAAAAGCATCATGAATGAAATACTCTGTTTTCAAAAGGATAAAGAAAAGCCTATGTAATCTGTTTGAAAGGGATTAAAGAAGAGTTAATCAACAGATTACACAGTACACAAACAGAGGTTACATCTTGAAGCCCCAATGGAGGGGTTTCAAATGACCAGGATCACTTAGGGAACACACTTCAAACACTCGAGGGAGGAAGGAAGACAAAACAGAAAAAAGAAGGTGGTTACAGCAGATGAGTCTCAAAGGTGACAGACCAGACCATCATCAGTTAAGGGAAAAAGGTGGAATCTGCTCTAATGTTTTCCTGCATCTGTGCTTTTGTGGGGTTTGTGCCGTGCTGCTGTGTGGGATGTGGTGTTGTGTTCACACAATCCTGTGAGACTTAAGCAGAGAAATGCATGAAATGTTAATGGCTTCTATGTATATGTGTCTTAAGTGTTTTTTTTTTTTTTTTATTCTTTTCAATTGTTTCATTCAGAGGATTGTTCAACATGTTTTCAATGTCAATCGATTCTCTCTTCCTCTGAACTTCGGCATGACTCTTCTGTTGCCTGAGTTTTGTGTTCTAGTTTTGGCTGCTACCTGTTTCCTTGTTTTATGTTCATTGGTCGTAGTCAGTCTGCACTCCTGCAGTAAACCTCCTTACCAGTCTCGACTGCTCAAACCTTAATATAATGGACCTTTACTTTAAAGTACACTCTGATGACTACTTTTACTGCTTATATAAACAGACAAAACATTTACCTTTTCTTAATTCAGACAGTAATGTACTTGGCTGTTGTTTTTCCTTTTTTTTATACAATGTCTTAGAAACTGTATCTGGGGTGGATTTTATGGGGCAACACAAAGTACTGTAGGGTCAGCCTAATAGAGGTGTTTTGCCCATATGTATCCATCCCCTACATTTACTCCGATAAGATTTAATGCTACCAATGCCTTCAGAAGTCACCTAGACAATAATTAAAACTCTCTGTTGTATTTTAATGTTCAGCTGTTATAAATGGAGCCATTTTGTTAAGACTTCAGAGGTTTGTAGACAACCATAGAGAGAGAAACAGCATCACAGACACTGGTCTGTGATGCTGCTATTATAAGTGCAGTAAAACGTGACGTTCTTCAATGGAAAGTGTCGTATCCAAATGAACACGAACGTGATTAGAAATAAGTAAAGGTATCTAAAGTGTATATACCCTTAATTTGAGTGGCTAAATAAGATGATATGCCAATACAATGACTATTTTCCTCTTAAAATAGGATAATTAGATAATATGCAGTTGAAATAAGACAATGCAATTGTGTTTTCTTATTTTAAGTGTAAATTGTCTTGTTCCAGTGGCAAAATGTAAGAAAAAATTACTTATCTAGATTTCGATTTTTCCCAGTGTTCTTCTCAAAGTGAACATAACGCTCGTTACTTCAAAACTGATCCGTTCAGTTCACTGTTCACTAATAATATGAACGTATTCAGTGAACGCTGTTAATTGAATGTGTTCATGCACAACACTGCCTACATCATTCACATGGTCATTGACCATAACAGGCCAAACAAGGATGATGGTTAATAAAGCAGCATCCGAGAAGCTGATTGTTGCTTTGGAGGAGCTGCAGAAACTCACTGCTCAAGTAGAATATTCTGATAAAAGCTACAAGGAAACACATTTGTTTGCTCAAAGCCATGCAAGAGCAGGGGTATCAAACTGGCATCACTGAGTCTTTAAAACAGCTCTTTTGCAGCTCCATTAATAAAGTTATTATTTTTATCCTTTCAGTTAAATTTTGAAAAAAAAACTACTTTGGGATTATTACATTTCTCTAATTTCTTGCCAAAATATTCAGTAATATTCACAAAAGTTTATAGAAACAAATATTAACTACTCAATCAAGTAAAAAGCCATGACTTTATAAAAACTACACTTCAATACTCTATCATATTTGATAAGATTATGTCTGATCCGCATACTCAAACAAATGGTCAAAAAAAATCTTACATATGCCACATTTGGATAGATGAACACCCATATGGGTAAATTGATTTATGCAAATTGATTCATGCTTAGAAAACAATAGTAGTATCTGGAATAAATATGGCCTAAAACCTGAGTGACTTAGATTAGGTGATACTGCCTGACTTATGCTGATCTAAGCTTCTACTTAATGGCATGATATGCCTTTTTTAGACTGCTAGGGAAAGCTGGAATGATCCCACTGGCCTTGAGGTTTATCAGAGGACGCGGAATAAGTCGGATTAAAACAGAACAAACCTTTTAGCCTACAAGTAAAATAACATATACATGATAGTAAAATAGATAAAATAACAGTGGCTCTTTTCATTAGAAAGAAGAGAGCAGATGCTTCGAGTTAGTGGTCAGACTTAAAACTAGGCCGAGGTTCACCTTTCAGCGTCCCAATAACCCTAAACAGGAAGCGCTCCAGTTTTAGCTGTAGATTGAAGTACATGGATCTATTAGCATGGTCCAATCAAAGTCTAGACCTAAATCCACTAGATTCAGTAGCAATACTAGAAAATCAATGATGCTTCCTATCCAGTCTATCACAATTTGAGGTATTTTTCAAAGAATTGGTTAATGATCTGAAGGATATACATGCCACACTGTTTTGTAATAAATAAATAATTGCATTTAAAACTATTCCACAGTCCCACTCTTCTTTGTACTGAATATAAAATCATAATAAAGCCTGTTTAGGTATCACAGCAAACCCTGAAAAGGGTGAATACCTTTGAAAGATCTATTTTTTTTTTTTCAGTCTAGACTGGTTTGTTTGATATCTCACTGGCTGGTAATGATTTAAACTGATATCTGAGGTGAAGCTATGTTTTTGTTTATTCGGTGCATGTTATGCATACGTGCAGCAAATATCTGGTTCCCGCTGGTTTGCATCAGTGGTGGTGCCTAAGATAGATCTATGATGGTCTCATCCCATCCTCTCCATTTTCTCCAGCCAGAATCCTCCCTGATCCTTCTTTCTCTCTCTTATAGCGCTCGGATGAGAGCATCACAATTGATACAACAATACTGGTCCATTTCTTTGGAAAGAAGGGAAAAGCAGAACTCACCTTTGATGATTTCTATAGGTACCCAATCACTGACCACTTTATAATTATTTTCATTTTTTCAGTCTTTCATGGAGTTTTCCTTTCTGCCTGTCAGGTTTATGGATAACCTCCAGACTGAGGTTTTGGAAATAGAGTTTCTGACCTATTCTAAAGGGATGACTACAATCAGTGAGGAAGACTTTGCTAAAATCCTGCTGCGCTTCACCAACGTGGAGAACATCAGTGCATATATGGAGAACGTCCGCCACTGCATTCCTGATGAGAAGGTGCAAAGCAAACACGCAACTAATCCTGTTCTTTTTCTAGATTTCATTCGACACATTTAATGCTCCTTCTGTACCAGTGCTCCTGCCTTCCAGGCGTTCACAGCCTGTAATTTCCCACTCTGGTGTCTGCCTAGGGCTGTTGATACTCTCAACACTTCAGTGCTCCTTCCCTTCACTTGACCTCACACAGAGACCCACACAAACACACGTTTAATAGCACTTTCAGCCACATGTGATTTTTTTTTTGTCTGTCCGTGTATCTGTCCGTCAAACGAGGCCTGGCTAGCTATACTTTGGCTCATCTTCCTCGTGTCGATTTCCAACCCGACTCTATTTCTGTCCCTCCTCTGTTTCATGCTGTGGAAGAAGCAGGAGGTTTGTTTCTGCCTCATAAAAAACACAACCTGCAGTCACAATCTGTCACTTCATTCCTTTCTAGTTTGTCTCGTTTCTACTGTTGTCTGCATTAGTTCATGTGATTTCTTTCAGTTGGGTTTCTCTGAGTTTATTTATTGTTTAGTTATTTCTGCTCCAGATTTTGGATTTATTACAACACAAAGCATGCGATGCAGCCTTTAAAAACTTTTATTTTTGCTCCCAGGTCTAAGAAATGTATTTCTTTAAGTTCATTTAAAGACTGTTTGCCTCTTTTTCATAATCACTTGTGTTCAAAATAAAAGTAGTGTGATTTAAAAACATCAGAAAATCTCTGGGAACCCTACAAATTAGAAAAATCTAATTTGTTGCCAATAGGGATGCACTGATCAATTTCGAGGCTTAAAATTAGGCATTTGCAGTTCCTGATCAGGCAACTTCGGCTTTGTTTAAGGTCAGAAAAAGAAGTCCTAAAAAGATTGTGTAAATGGGACTGAATCGCTGTAGATTTCTCCTGAGGCCAGCCACTGTGTTCTTTGGTAAGTTGAAACCTCTTGAGCCAATGTGCCTTTTTTTTAAAAAGGAACTTTGCGGGGGTTTCTTGTCGATAGATTGACTTCACATAGGCATCTTCTTTTATGACAATAGCCAAAGGAAACTACATGTCTACTATAATCAGCCTGAAGCTGATACTTGTCTTAGCCTTCAGACTGTTGCATTGATAGTCTGCTTTAGTGGTGCAGCAGATGATTTCAACAACTCCAGCTAGTGTGATAGAAATACGCTTTTCTCCACTTCTGAAAAAGCCCTGTAAACACTATTTAGAACACTGCTGTTATTCTATACATTACATGATTCTTGCAAGCTAAGGTTCAGTCGTATCTAATCAACATCCTTCTTGTTTGCTGAGCCTGTTAGGTTTTTTGTTATTTTACTTCTCCCTTGGTCAAAATCATCAACTCGGCTTGGTACCGATGATGGATTATTATTTTGAACACAACTTTTATTTGTGTCATTCAAGCACTGTTCATCTCTGTCAAGTCTTTGTTTCATAACCTATTTTTAATTTTTGAATGAAAAAAAAAAAGAATGAACAAGTATGAACATGTAAAAAAGGCATTTTGTCATTACGTTTATGTAATTTAACTGTAGAAGAAGTGGGTGCATGTTAAGGAATGCTGTGTGCACAAACAACCCAAGTTGCATCTTCCTGAAAATGTCTACCACAATTAGAACGCTCATCATTCCCCATATTTAAAATAGTTTCCTCAGGATGCTGAAACTCTTAATTTCTTCTAGTTTAATCCTGAATCTGTAAGATTTCTTATTAAGTTCTAATGTTATTATTTTTTTTTTTCAGGGAATCACATTCGACGAGTTCAGATCATTCTTCCAGTTTCTGAACAACCTTGAAGATTTCGCCATTGCCATGCAGATGTACAACTTTGCTTCACGGTCCATCGGACAAGGTTGTAAAATCATGACTAGAGGCCAAAGCTACGATGCTAAATGTTGAAGCTCTTTCTTGTTATCTATTTTTTTAAATCTTCATGCTTTCCCACTAGATGAGTTTGCAAGAGCCGTGTATGTGGCCACAGGGCTCAAGCTGACCCGTCACCTGGTGAACACCATCTTTAAGATCTTTGACGTTGATCATGATGACCAGCTGTCCTACAAGGAGTTCATCGGCATCATGAAGGACAGGCTGCACAGGGGAGCCAGGGTGAGGAGCATACACCTGAAAGGATCTCCTCTGCCATTGAGTGGTTCTATATCCTTATTAAAAGTATGAGGAGTGAGCATCAACAAATGCTGATGCTATATTGCCATCAAGTGGTGTTTTAAAGAACTACAACATATCATGTCCATGCTAACTTGTCTCTTAAGAGGTGAAACTGGATGTTGTTCTGTTTGTTTTCTTGGTTTTACAGTCATGGTTTTTTTATTGTATACTCCCTGTGTTTTGTTTTCTTACTGCAGTGCTTAAATTAAAATTTTCTTGCTTGTCTTGTGGCATCTCAGGGATATAAGTCGGTGGAGCGAGCCTCTTCTTTTAAATCATGTCTGAAGAAGGAGCTGGCAAGCAGATAAGTACCACTTACAACAACAATAAAATATATTAAAGAGAGAAAAACTTTGTTCATTATATTCATTTTTTGTTGTTGTTTTTATGGATATTATCTTATATATATTGTGTAAAAAAGTTGAATAAAAGCAGCCTAACGTGTTTATTAGATCTAGATTTTGGATTTCCTTTGGAATGTTCAAAGAAATGTACAAAACGCGAACCTGTTGAACTGAACTTCTTCTTTCTATGTGTGCACCAGGTGAATGGCAAACACTGCTCCTCGTTCTCCAGCTGTGTTTGGACTGAGGCCCAGAGACAGCTGTACCAGCTATGGAAGAGATATGAGGAGCAGCCTTAGAGGACTTCATAAATGTAACCGAGCCCAGACTTTAATCAGCTTCCTGATTAAGCAGCTGGGCTACAGAGCTTAAGTGCTGCTTCAAACTAGATATTGATCGAAAGCATGACTGCATTGACTGAAGGATTTGCCAGGAAGAAGTGTCAAAATCATCTTCGTCTTTCGTTCCTTTGTTTTTTTCTTATGCCAATCTTCTCACCTGAGTATATATTGACAATAAAGATGTTATGCATTCAAATTTTGTGTTTGGATTATTTTATTTTATTTTTAATTAGAAGTTTACATATTTTTGATTTACACATCTCAGTGATTTTGCAATTTGCTTTTATTGGAAAGTTCCCCATCCATTTGGTTGATTTCTATTCAACTGCCTATTAATGGAAAGAGCACAAGAAAGAGGAAATACTATATAGTGTGTATGTTTAACATAATAAGCATGTGAAATGAAAACAAAAAAAATGTTTGAAATGAACATTTCAAAATTATGCAAATGATTAACACTGAGTAATTAACAGTACCTCTAATCTATTTTTCAATGTAATAACTGTTGTGTTTATTCAATATGACCTTTTTGTCACACCCACACACACATATATTTGTATGCGCATGTGTTTTTGTTACCTTGTGGGGACGATTTCCCAGGAATATGCAAAATTTTGGGGACTTTAGACTCAACTGTATTTATCCCTTGGGATTACTCCTTCAGGGAAATTCTGATTCCGGTAGCTTATATAGAGTACAAAGGGCAGAGTTAAAGCAAGATGCCATTAAAGATAAAAACAAAACAGACATTATCAAAGTGAGTACAAAAAAAGCATTAAAAAAAAAAGCTGTAATGTGTCTAATCTATGTTTCCCTTCGAGATGAAAATATCTGCGAAATAGAGAGCTAAGGCGTGTAATTGCACGGTGAAACTTACAGGTGCTTGTGGGGACCAAGGTCTGGTCCCCATAGGAGGAGGTTCTCTTCTTTGTGTGGGGGTTAGGTTAAGGGACTGGCTTAGGCCATAGAAGTGAGTGGGAATGAATGGAAGGTCCCCACAAGGTTTGCGTAACACATCCTATGTGTCTGTGTGTGTGTGTAGGAGAGAGTGAATGTTTCATTTTTGCAGTGTTAGTCAGCTTTCTTCTTAACTGTCTTATTTCCATCTGCAAATTAACTTAATGGAGCAATAATTCTACCATTGTGTTCTAACAAGCTTCCTTTTGTGTATTTTCTTTAAAGCAACGAAAAAGACTGTTTTTTTTGTTTGTTTGTTTGCTTGTTTTTTTTATAATTTATTCTGATGTTGTTTTGCTGTGTATTGTTTATTTTTTACCCCTTAATAAATGTTTTAAAAAGAAATCGAACTTTATTTACTGGGCATGCGCAGTGAAGCGCTCGAACTGCGGCCGGAGATTTGAAAAGTCCGAACTTTTAATGTGTCAAAAACATTTCAGGAAGTGGGGAAGGGTTTACGGTTCCGGTGAGCAAAAATAACCGCATATAAACCAAAGAGTGGTTTGCTTTTTGCCGGTTGGGGGATGTATCCTTACGGGCAGGGAGGTAGCCTAACGGATAGTGCATAGAGCTCAGAATCCTGAGGTTCTGGGTTCGAGCCACCGGGTTACCCCTCAGGGTCCTTGAGCAAGACCCTTAACTCCCATACTGCTCACCTGGCGTCGGCCTATTGGCTGGCAGTCTTCAAAAAACAAAAAAAGCTAAGAAAAAAAAAAATGCTTGCTTGCAAGCTATTACTTTTCTTATTCTTTTAATATATCTACCATCCTACAAGATCTATAAGTGTTTAGATTTATGCTCCAAATTGTCCTTTATTTCTAGAGAAAGTGATGTGTAAACCTCTCTGTGAATGCATCTGCCAGTAAAGTGTAACGGTCTTATTTTTCTCTTCTTAAAATGAATCCTGCAGAGCAACTGCTCTAACTGCTGCCAAGTTAAATCTGCTAACACGTTAAGGATTTTTAGCACTTGCCCTTCGTGCAAGTGACTTTCACATTTCATTTGCCCAGAAACAATTTTTACTTGCCCAGTATAATGTTTGATAACTATAGTTCCTAATATTCATTTTTGTATATATATATCACTGAAACATGTTTGTTTTTTAAATGTTTTTTGTAATTCAGTATTTTTTAAGTTTACAGGCGTGTATGCGTTAGATAATGAACTCCAGCCTACATTACCGTGTTAACATGCTTTTCAATCCTTCCTGCACATTCTTTTCAAACTAAACTTTGCTTTTAACTGTTGTGTGCTTGGAAAAAATATAAATTGTAATGGTAAAAATCTGAATGTCACAAATGATAATGTCACAAATGAACAACTTTTATTTTAGAGTCACGGTATATACAAGATAATACTATTAATATAATGTGACTTTTCTAGAGAATCATTATACATAGTTATTTTATTCAGGGTTTCCACAGTCTTACATAATTTCAGAATTCCCTGACTTTTAACTGACTCAGGATTAGTTTTCCATGAAAGAATAAATGAAGCAAGACAATAATAATAACATAACAGCTCACCAATTTAACATGTTCAGCTCTATAACATTTAAATGCACCTCTCCAATGTCTAAAAGAAAAAAAATTATGAAAATTTTTTAGTGTATGGCCTGCATCACTGTACAGAAGACTGCCATATGATAGCCATATTTACACTGTGCGCATGGCATACAATTATGCCAATTTTCCTAATCCCTGACAAATAATTTTTAAACCAGGGTTATCTGGGGGGTGGGTGAAATGGGTGGAGGGTAAAATAGCCTTGTTGTTGTTTTTTAGCCTGCCAAGTCGAAAAAAATGTGTCTGATTCGCGCCGGACAAAAATCACGCCATCTGGCGGAAAATCACGTGGCTTTTTGAAATTACGCGAGAATGTGTAAAAAAAACAATAAAACTTGCCCGGCGGGCAAATGCAATGAAATTTGTACTCCCCCGACAATAAAAACTACTTGCCACAAGCGATCGGGCGATGGTTAACATCGAGCCCTGGCTAACAGAGCAATGTTGTTGAAAATTAATTGCAAATGTGTGCGGAGAGTTGTGTGTACGAGTACCTGCAAATGTGTAAAATAACTTCTGTGTAATTGATTTGCAAATGTGTAAAAAAATCCACAAGATTTGCAAATGTGTACTAAGATCTACAAATGTGTTAAAAAAATGCACAAATCTGTATTCAGATCTGCAAATCTGTGTTAAGATTTGCAAATGTGTACAAAGATCTACAAATGTGTAGATCAGTCTGTAAACACGCAGAAGGTTGCAGGTCATTCTTCTATTATTTAAAGTTTCACGCATCTGGAATTATAATCAATATATCTCAACGTTAATTTTGACTAGTCAAAATATATTTGATATCTGAATTAGGAAATAGGCCCCTAGTGTTGTTACTGGGCGATCATAACAGGTGCCTGCAGAAGAGAAGAAGGACCTGCAACCTCTGGGTATCACAATAGTCTCACTGCTGCCACTCTGCAGATTTAATATTGTAAGAAGTAAAATTGCTCATGGATGTTTTTTTTTATTATTATTATTATTACATGATGTTTACTCTCATGTGTCCCAGGAGGATGAAAGTACCATTTTTAGTTTTATTTTCAGATTTAGGGGCCTAAACTCAGTCACTGACTTTCCTAACATCTTATCTGCTCTAGATCAAAATAGACTCAGACTCAGAGTTAGGCTGTTTTCGAATTCATGGGATGCATCTTCCAAGGACGCGGTCCACCTGGCCTGGATCCTTCGAATTCCTTGAAGTTAAGGAGACTGGAAGAGTTTTGGATTTTATCGCAGTACGCTCTGTCACTTAGCAACTATGATAGTTGACACACAAAGCAGGAAAAGAATGAAAACTTTCCAAACCGTTTCTTTTTACGGTAATAAAAAAAAAAAAAAATACTAATTTTAATGTAATACACACTCATAAGAATACAGAGTGGAATAAAGGTGCCAACCACCTGGCGCATGAATAAATGAAAAGAAAAGGTAATAATATAAACCTTAGTCAGTTAAATAACATGCTGCTCTCAATTTGCACATCTCTGATGTTGCTGCTAATTTGTCCATAGCTCTATATTGGTTATCTATTCTCCAGGTTATATATATATATATATATATATATATATATATATATATATATATATATATATATATATATATATATATATATATATATATATATATATATATATATATATATATATATATATATATATATATATATATATGGTGTAATATAAATAAAGGGACTTTATTTTGTAAGGCGGGCCTCTGTTTAGTTTGATATCCACACATTTATTTTGAAATCCGATTATAACAGGAAGTTGCGTTTTACGTATCATACGTATTGTTATAGGTAAATAAGTTGACCAAGCCGTTAATAGTTGGGTTGTTGTCTCCTTATTTTTGCTTCGTGTATATTAATGACAGCTCAAAAATAGCTTAGGAACCTTCGAATTAAGAAAAGAAGCCAACGTTTTGTTATTGTTCTATCATTTGTAGACATTACTTTGTAACGTAAATGCAAATCCTATTTTCTACAGAGAGGAAACGGGATTGTTTGGTTAGCCAGCTAACAGCGGTTAGCAACACAAATCTCCACACCTTATGCCGCTAATGCCCACTATATCCTTCACCTATTTATTTATCGGCCTTTTCACTCAGTCGGGTGTTTCTCCCGGGGATAATGAGCTGGTTTTTTTCATCTAAAGGCTCCGGAGCTCTCCCTGCCCTGAACAGCCTCCAGCAGCAGAGACAGCGGCAGATCGAGTCCCTCAAAGCTGCTCACCCCAGGTAACATCAACCATGTTCGGTCACTCCAAACCCAACTCTGGCCTTTCACAAAATCATCCTAATCAACAAATTAACTATAGTTATCACGGTTATAGGATTTTTTATTATCAGCATGGGTAGAAAGGGGAATTAAATGCCACAAAAACTGTTCAGCTAGCTAGCCACCTGACCGCATTTCTTATTAAGTTCAATATAAACAAAACCTCGGTTTAAATATGTGTTTTAATCGATGCTGTTGTATTTATGAAGTTACATCATAGTGAATTACGGTATGATAACGTCGTTTAGCCTCACAGCCAACGTAGTTATAAAGCAGCTAGTGTTAGTGTTAGTTTCAGCTTTGTTAGCTTTGAAGCTAATAAGATCAATCCGTGGCAGCTACAGTGTATAATTCCAGTTTGATTGTACAAGTTGTAGCTTGCTGACCATGTCCTGTGATCACCCTGAGGGTGTCACGCTTGTAGTTTTAGGATGAGCTTGTTAGTGGCGGAGATTAAAGTATTAGCTTTTGTTTACTAGGAGTTAGAGAGTGACAGACAGGACACTGTTAAAAAAAAAAAAAAGATCTGGTCAACTTCTATGGTTACTTCGTAGCAAATGGCTACAATACATCTCTAAATGGCTAAAAAAAAAAAAAAAAACAGCTCACAAGAGGAGTCCTGCCAAGAAGTAAAACAGCCTCTAACATCTAATATTATTGTTTGCAGATCTTCCATTCATTGGCTAAAACATAAAAAGGCATATACATTTTAAAAGCATCAGCATTATTGGGCTCTCCTGGGCACCTCTGCTCTTGGGGTTCCTTTGAGCGTCTGGGGCTTTGGGTCCCCCAGCGTTTGCCTCTGTGCTTTGGAGGGGCGCGTCTACGGGTCTTCACAACCATCATTGAGCATTTTTCCTTTGGCTAAACTTAACATTCACACTCTCACAAACAACTACAGATGCTTGGTTCCAGGTACTTAGAGATTCACTTCCATACAGAAAACCCATATTCTTATCTTCAGCTACTACATTATACATGTCAGATTAAATATTACAACTTATACTCCAGCGATAGTATCAAGGTGTTACTTTATTGTATCTCTTATACTATATCTGTTGGTTGTGCTGTTCTTTTTACATTTCTTTGCAGGTGATGAAGCAGACTGGAGATATATTATATCTCCCCTTTTATCTCCTCTTTCTTCAATCTTTTCTCCTTATTTTTCTGTTTTTCCTTTCCTGTTCTACTTACAATGCAGTGTCCATAAAATCTGTAAAACTCCCTGCATGAATTATAATAAAGCTATTGATATGCATAAATCAAGAGGAACACTATAGTGATAGCCGTACTGCTCCATTTGTGAAAGCAAAATTTGTTGGACTCTTTTTGGCAACAAGACAGTTATTCTTATTGCCACATCGCCAGACAGGACAGTGAAAAAAAAGCTAATATGGATATAATTTGCTCTAGATTCTGCATTTAACATCCTGATGTCAAGGTATAGTTTCATATGTATGGGAAAGATCCAACATAAAATGAAATTACACGGTTGTTTTAGAAAAAGAAAGGAATCATTTAAGGCAAACTGCATGTGATTTCCAACACAATTTGATTCACTAAATACCAAAGGTTTTTACTTTATAAGTCAGTATAAGTATAAGCTGTTGCACATTAATGGAATAGAAAATTTGGTTTCAATCAAGCACCAACCACCATTGTTCCTTTTTAATTAATTTAGTCAGATTAACATTTTATTATTTCATCAGTAAAAAGTTTATTTTTGTTTTGTTTTGGGCATAAAAAGAAATCCTGCCTACTAAAAGTGTTATTAAAACTTTAAATACCAATATATTCAGTTTAAAAAAAAAGCATGATAAACATAGAAACGTTAAGAAAAATCAACAAATGCCAACATTCTTTTAAATGTTAAAAGTGAAAGAGAATAGATGAGTTTTTAAGAGATTTGAAAATTATCATAGAGGAACCTGCCTGATATGTCGCAGAAAATCACTTCAGTTTGGAACGAGCTACAGAAAAGGCAGAGTCCCTTCTTTAAGTCAATTTAGTTTGAACTTGAATGATTGTTAGATAGGAAAGGACATCAGATAATGAAAACTTAAAGAAAAGCCTAAAATTTCACATTTTTTGATACATTTGTTCTTTAGTTCAAAATCTAAGGTAAAAGTCTATTGTTATGTATTCTGGAGGTTTCAAAACAAAAAATGCCATGCAGTCTACATTTATGTTTTTTATTATCAATTTTATATATCCTATATATCCTAAGTAGCACAGTATGTCCTGCTTTTTTATGGTATTACAGAAATAACTTCCTCTTGGACATCTTAAGACATTTTCTTCACAGATTTCACTGCAGCTTACAATCAGTTAAACAGAGATTGAAATGGGCATTTTTCTCTTAACTAACTTTGACTGTAGTAAAAACTACATTAATATAAAGTATTACATTAAAAAGCTGCTATCACTATTAAAGAAACGTCAGGCCTTTTTTGTCTTTGATGTATTCTTGAAATATTAAAATCTATTAAAATAAGGGGGGAAAAACTGTCTTTATTTTTCATAAACTTTTTTGTTTTTTTTAAATCCCACATTTTTTCCTAGTTTAATGCTCAATGATTGTTTTTTTTTCTTCTCTTTTTCCACAGCCTTACAGAAATCCAGAAAGATGTTGAATACAGATTACCATTTACAGTCAACAACTCCACCATTAGTGTTAACATGTGAGTATATCTTAGGTTTTGATTGACTGTTAACACAGACTTTCAACACCGAGTTGAAAGTCCGTATTGCCCAGCGACAGCCCTGAAACATCACTGCTCTGAGGAAATCTGCATGGAGGAATGGGCCAAAATACCAGCTACAGTGTGTGCAAACCTGGTGAAGACTTACATGAAACGTTTGACCTCTGTCATTGCCAACAAAGGTTATGTTACACAGTGTTTAGTTGAACTTTAGTTATTGACCAAATACTTATTTTCCACTGTAGATTATATAACAGATAAAGACTACTCTTGGACTTTGAGCTTCTTTTTTTCAGAACAGTTCTGGCATAAACTCACAAAGACAAGCCGCTGTCTGTGCTGCCCCAGGTGATTTCTAAATCTAGTTGGTCATATCCCAAACCCTCGTCAGCTTTTCAAAAAATATAACAGTAATGCAGATCTAAGGGCGCTATGAAGTGAAGCTTAGTATTGTCGTTGTGTAGCATCAAAACAATATTTCAGAAAACTGGTACAGGGTTAAAAAAATAACATGAGGTGCCTCTTTTTTAACAAAATACTCAAGGTTTTAAACCTTACTCTCATTACTCTCATGTTTGGTTATTCTTGTTTTGTTATGAGTAAAATAGTCCTTCCACCCTGAGAGTGGTCAATACTTTATGTATTCAGAAAAAAGAAAGGGAATAAAAACCTCAGGCATCTGTGAGAGCTGCAAGCCAGTAAAGATTCTGACCAATCCCTGCCATTTGGTCCACATGGAAAAAAAAAACGATCAGGTGCCTTCATCTTTGACCTTCCTCCTCTTCGTGTACGCTCATCAGGTTTGGCCATAGCCAGAATTCTTCACAACATTATTGTGAATAATTCTTTTTTTAGCATAAAAATAAAATGCTAGCACTTGTATGGTTAGTATTGCTAAACCTAGCAGGCTACTTTGAAAGCTACAATAATAAAATAGTTTATTAACAGGTGAATGAAACATGAGGTAGTTAGGTTGAAGTCCAAAATGTATTGAACAAAATGGCGTAGTCCGCTCTGCTCTGAGTTGCGTGTTCTAGTATGTGGGGGGGACATAGCTTTGAATGGAGGAGCTTCTTGCCCTGAGCTGAGACAGAAGCAGATGGGAATCAGTGTGAGAACACTGGGAGAGGGTACCATAACCGGGATAAGGGGGGCTAGCTGTGCCACCCTCTGGAGCTAAGGAACCACAGCAGGAGATCGGAGGAGCCCGTTGGGCAGACAGAGCACCGCGGCGAGAAGATAAGGCTGTTCAAGAGCGGAGAAGCACTGCGGAAACAATGCCAGGATGGGGAGAGACTACAGCTGACACAGGCTAGCTAGGCTAACTGCGGAGAACTGAAGGAACATGGAGGGAAGATGATGGGCAGGAGTAGGACAGCAGTATTTGGACAGAATGACACCATGTCCCCAATGTATAATATTTTTGTTTTTTCTTTCTCTGTTTGAAATGAATTGATTAAAATTGAAATTTTAATTGCAAATTAAAATGGCTTTTTAAAAAGGCACCTACTAACTTCTTAAAGGGGTCATAGAATGATTATATAGTGTGTTTGGTGCTGGTCCTTAAGGTCTCTGATTAGGATGCGTAACATTGGTTGGGCTGAAAATGGCATATTTGCTGTTCTATGAGCCCTAATGCAGCCTGGTTAAGAGAATGAAACAACAAGTTTTCTTCCTTTTGTGGTATGCTGATGAATATTTAGATGAGCTGTACGCTTATTGGTTGTTTTACAACGAGTGAAGCTGCTGAGCAAAGACGCATCATAGCAACAAGCCCTCACTCACTGAAACATCAAGATTGTTGATATGGTAGGGTGACCAGACGTCCCCTTTTTCCAGGACATGTCCTTCTTTACATACCTAAAAAAAGTTCCGGGGGGAATTTCTAAATCGTCCGGGATTTTGGTTGACTAAAGTGCATCCATGAACAACTATCTATGTCAAGGAGACTCCCGGAGACTTGGGATGTCTGTTACCGTTCCCCAGCCCCCCTCTTCTGGCGGAGGACGGGCGGCTCATGGCTCTCTGCTGAGGTCTGTTCCAGTTGGCGGCCCAGCAGTCGACACTTCAGAATGCTGCCCCACCCCCACCCCCCCTAGTTGAAAGGCCCACTTGGTCAGTGAACCAGTGGTCTGGTCTGTATGTCAATTTCAGGGCAAGACAAAAGTAAAGGCCAGAACTAAATAAAGCAACATCCCCGATTTTATGTCAATTTGTGGCTTCGTTTGAATTCACCCGTTTTATGGTGGAAGTTTAGAATTGTGAGATTTGCTGAGAAAGGAGGTGTTGATGGGGTTTAAACTTCTCTGTACGTCAATTTCATCCACTGGACTATTGTTATTCATCTATGACAATGGAAACTCAGCTTTGCATTCTATGACCCCTTTAAGAACATTCCCTCTCTTCATCCCTTGTCAACAATTTGTTTTTTAAAAGCTAGTCTCTACAGTTTCCTTCCCTAAAACTATGGTCTATTCATGATAGTTTCTCTACTATAATTTTGATTCCTAATAATAGAATGTCAGGGTACATCAACTGCTGGTTCATGTACTCTGAATTTATGCATTTGATGCTGTGATCGGTGATCTACGATCGCCACTTACTGGTGCATGTCTAATGTAAACACATTAATGTTAAGCTTTATAATCTAAATATTCAATATTCTTTGTTACATTTTCATTTCTGAAATGCATGCAGTATTTCAAATATTGTAAGATATCTAATAGTTTGCTTGTTTGGAAACTACTTACAGAGGTATGGCTTCATAATTCGGGGCATGTAATACTAACCCTGCTTGCTTTTGTCCTCAGTTTGCTGCCTCCTCAGTTCCCTCAGGAGAAGCCGGTGGTTAGTGTCTACCCCCCAGTTGGTCATCATTTAATAGACAGCAATAATGGCACAGTGATCACCAGCCCCCTCATCACTAATGTAAGTAGCAGCCTCTCATAAAACGATGTTTTCTTTTAGATTTGCAAAATGACTTTTTTCTGAACATTCTGAAAGTATTTTTTAGGTGTGCTAGGTGGATGGTTGGATGTATGCAAAATGTATTTCTGATTACAGGTGCATGAATCAACACGTAAAACCAGACAAACAGGTTAATGAAATATATCTTAATAAAACTGAAACTGAAATGAGTTTAAGGCTTTAGTCAGATGGACACTTAATGGGAACAGAAAGTAAAAATGTGAAGTATATACTGTTATCTCTGTTTGCCCTCATTCTACATCTAAGTACCTCACATCTCACTTCCATTTAATGTTTTTTTGTTTCCCGGGTAAAACAATGTAACTTCTATAAACACTTTTTATACCAAAGAGGTTGTTTTCCTATTTTTATTGGAAAAGTCTGACTGTATTTCTCTTTGTTTTGTGTGTTATAGTTCAGTATGCACTCAGATCTGGGTAAAGTCATCCAGAGTCTACTCGACGAGTTCTGGAAAAGTCCTCCTGTCTTAATGTCTGCTGGCCCCACAGGCTTTCCATAGTGAGTTTCCCTTTGCTTCCCTTTCATTTCATTGGACTGCAGGTGATCTGTGACACTGATCTGATTCACAAACTGTTCCAAGAAGTAACTCTGATACTAGTTTGGTATCTGGTTAGAATTTCACTGACCTTTCATGATATTTAATGGATTTTTTGGAAGTGTTTTATTTATGATGTTCTCCCTCTTTCCTGGTTGCAGCATGTACAAGCCTCCTTACCCTTCCCAGGCTTTTCATTATGGTCCTCGTCATGTGGGTCCCAGCCAGACTCCCTCTCCTGGACCTGGTCCAGCTCCATCTCAAGCCCCGATGCCTCATCCAGCGGTGGATATGGTTCATGGTGTACCTCGAGCTCCAGCCCCATACGGATTGATAACGGAGTTACCTCTACCTGTACCAACTGGAGACTCACAGGTACACACCCATTAGGAGGTTTTCACATTGGTAGAGGGTTCTCATTACCCGTTCCGTACCATCAGCTCGTTTGTGCATGCGTAACCAGATGTACAGCCGTGTCGCTCTCAATTTTACTACATAAAAAAGATTGAAATGATTCTTTTCTGTCTAAAAAAAATTCTCAGCGTAATTAACTACAATGTTTAGAAGGTAAATCATTTATTATTTGGAGAAAATAAATATATTAAAATCCTTTCTGTTTAACCACTTGTTTGTGTCTGGTCTGTCCCGGAAATGGGATCCGACGCTACTTCCTGGAGTTAACTTTTACGGCTTTGGATTTATATATAAATTTAGTCTTTTTGATTTGTATTTTTGCTTTTTGTTTTAAACATATGGTATATAGTGCATAATCTAGAGAAAGAAAACAACTAAAATGCAGATACACACGTTTATTCTTACTTTGTGGGACTGTTCTGTGCATGTCCAGTGATGTCAGACAAGCAGATTAATGGAAGGTATCTAAAAATGATCCAATTGTCTTAGAAAAGTAATTGAATGTTTTTTTAAAGATGTAGTTGACTTTCTTTGCTAATTTAAGGATAGAAATAAGTACTTTTAATACCATTATTTATAGTGACCTAGATGAATATCTGCTTAATCATGCGCAGCTATGCTGATGGTATGGATCCTACATCCGTTACAGACCGCATAGTGACAAGGGACGATATTGTTTTTTTAAACAAGGAAGTAAAGTATTTATAGCTGTAACACTAGAGTTAAAGCTAAAGATACAACTTGTTCGTTATCTAAAGGATGGTGAAATTCTAGTAAATATTTTATTTATTCCAGGTTGACCTATTATAATAGTAGTGTCTTCAATAATGTATCCATATAGCAGATAAGTTAGTTTTGTTTTTTCTTTGCTGGTTAGGCAAATTAGATGCTGCTTTGACTGGATTTTCTGGTTGGTCTCCATGGCACCGGCTTGACTTATAAACATAATTTGATTATGTTTGTCAATATAGCAGAAGTTTTGCTCTCTAGGAGCCCGACCTTCAATGATTAAACCAGAGAGCTCTGGTTTTATATTACCATGCTCCGTATATTTGGTTTAGATGCAGTGGAAATCCTATCACTGCATTCTTTGTGTAATTTGTGTAACAAATATGAAAAACATTTATTCACATAATTGTATCTACATTACCCTAAAACATGTCTTTATCTAATTGAATTGTTGGGGAGATGGCTGGGGGTAAGTTACAAGGAGAAAAGGAATGAGAAGCTGTTGGGTAGAGGTTTACCCTCTAGTGAACTACAGCTCCCTACATAGTGTAAAGCAGTGGTGTCCAAACTTTTTATCACTACTTTCAGGCCCAAGAAAAATTTTCTATCCAATGTTTGGATTTAACAAATAAAATGTCAGATTCCTGTAGGAGAGGGATGTGTCATAACATTCATGCAAACATGGCTAGGGTTTAGCATGTTTATATTACTAAACAAATGCATAAAATATGCAATTCTCAAAGGGTCTTTGAAGGCCTGAAACGACTAATAGGATAAATCGATTATTGAAATGTAGTAAACGATTAATCATTAACTGGAGTATAGAGATTCTGAAACAGGCCTTTTGCTGACAGAGCAAAATGCATGTATGTATATATGGTCCGTATTTTCTTGACTACAAAACGCAGCTGAATATTAGACGCACAAGCTTAAATTTGTGGAAAATCCTGTTTTGTTCATACATTAGCCGTGACTGACTAAACGCTGCAGATGTTTTCATGTTTAATTATGTAAGAGAATATGCACAAAGGAGATATTCAGGAACAAAATGGCTGTTTGAGAACACATGCCTTTTATTAACTGTTTGAAAAACAAGCTACCGCCACATATTTGCATAACTTTTTACATATATGTACAACTACCAGTAATTACAAGTGAAACATTTACTGTGCTGTTTTCAGGAGTAACAAATGTACTGTATAAAAATAACATACAGCACACTAGATAAAATAGATTTGGCCTTTTGGGCTAAGTTGCAGCTTACGCTTTAACAAGAAGAAAAGTCGGTAATTCGTCACCATCGGCATTGTCTTCTTCCTGCCAACTAAATTCATCAAAGTCCTCTTCTTCATTGTTGGAAACTAACAGGCACAGGTCAGCTTTCTTCATCCACTCTCCGCTTCTCTCCTTCCCTGTCGCTTTCAAAACCAAAGAACTCTTCATTGTCAGTGTAAGAATCAAACACCCTTTGAAGGGCCGTGGTGGTGTCCTCCTCTTCATCACGCAGCAGTCCAGCCCTTCATAATACTTTAGTGATTGTGGATGTTTAGACACTTCTCCACGCTGTCAGAATCCACTGGCACACTTGGACAAAACTTTTCGCTTCATTGATCTGTGGCTCGATGGTCCACCTCTGAAATTTACAATCTTCATTTTAGTGGTGACTGTTTTGGCTCTCAGTCAGATCTGCACAGTTGCAACACCTCGCCTATTTGCTCTCTGTGTGTTCACCCAGTCTTAAATTAAGTCTTCAAGTTAGGGCTATCTGCTTTTATTACCTCTAAAAACTTGTTTTCATCTTTTTGGGCTGAGCATGCTGGCCTCTCTAACATCTCACCATTGATTGGTTTATACCAAGGTTACATGAAGCAGCTCTAGTTCCCTCACTGAGCGCCACATCGACTGCCTTTAATTTAAAAGCTGCATTATATATATTTCTTTTGTTTGCCATAATGAGGGTTTGTGAATGAAAGCCTCCTTTGCTCCTGCAATACTTGTCTTGCTCTTGCTTATCCCGTTTCTTTTTTGCGCCAAATCATACGGCACTACTTTGCCTGGCAGACGGACATGTGACCAACATACCGCTCTTTTCCATCTATACTGTGTTTCTGATCACTTTCCCTTCTGCCAGTCAAAGTAGTGCCATACAACAGCGGAGCAAACCAAAACAAATCCTCCTACGATATCACAAAAATCATGATAAATCCATAGAAAAGTCACACCGGACTATAAAATGCAGGGTAAAAAACTTTTGCAAATAGTAGCGGCTTATAGTCCGAAAAATGTGGTATATATAAACATTTAGCATTTAAAATAAAACAAACTTTTTCGTCTGTCAGTATGCTCTTTCCAGAACTCCTCAAGTGGAAAAGTTTTGGTTTCATCTGGTTTGATTTCATAAAAAGTTCTTTTTGAGTATAAAATAACCGACGGATTAATCAATTTACAAAATAAACGTTACTTGCAGCACCAGGTCTTTGGACTGATAGGGTCCTATCTGCTTTGAAAGAATACTTAAATAAAGTGTATTTTCCCTTAACGACAATGACTTTGTCTAATATTACCTTTAAAAGACTATTTTAATTAGTCTGTAAAAATGTTGCTCTAATAATAGTCTCCTTACAATCAGTCTTCTTTGCTGACTGTCCAACTTTGTATTAATACTTGGTTGTTGCTCAGTATCAGTCCAGGGGCCAATAATGGCCCTCAGGATGAATATTCAACCTCACTGCTTTGAAACCAGAGCTACAATGTATGCTTTAAGTTGGATGTATTGGCTCACAAGAGATTAACGCTCCACACTTTTCAGATTCTTTTGTGTAAAACACCTTTAAACTGTTTGATTACATAACCTCCCATTATACAGCGATGGACCACTTTGTGTTGGTCCGTAACGTAATATTCCTTATATGTTTTTTTTTACTTTGCAAAAAGGCATTTAAAAGTTAAATAATTTAAACACATAGTTTATGTAGAATGTATGAATCCTGACACTAAAGACAAAATATCCTAAACTGTTCTTTTTCAGGCGGGGCTGAACGGACACATGTACAAGATGCCTGAGATTCCTGAGTCTTTTCCTGAACTTGGTGACAAAACGTAAAGTATTCTGGAACTTTTTTTTTAGATTTAGTCAACAGTTAATTGTTTTTCTGCCTTAGTAGCTTTTTTTAATTATCTTTTCATCCTATCATCAGTCTGACACAGTTGTCAGATATGTCTGAAAATGAGGATGTGCTGCTGGAGTTCTTTGTGAGTTTGCCACAACTCAAGCAAGTCACCAGTGATAAAGAGGAACTGGTCAACAGTATAGTGGAGATGGCTAGTAAGCTACTTTACTGTTTTTTGTTGTTCTGTTTCCATTCTTTGATGAAGGGACTGTAGTTTAGTGAAGTTTTATGAAAATTCATACATTTTGCAGAAAAGAACCTCCACATGGAGCCACAGCTAGAAGGAAAAAGACAAGAGATGCTTTACAAGGTTAGTGTTTCTCTCATGCTCGCACATGCACTGCGGACAGGTTCTCATCACTGCTAATTGGGTTTTCTGTCTCTTTTGCACAGTTTGAACAGCTGACACAGATGAAGTCGGCCTTTGAGACAAAGATGCAGAGACAGCATGAACTCAGTGAGGTAAAAACCAGTGCATGTTTCTGTTATATTATAGAGTGCATTGATGACTTTTGAGATGATCTCTTCATTTTTACATTTCACCAGAGTTGCAGTCTAAGCACCCTGCAGGCTCGGTTAAAAGTCGCCGCCCACCAGGCAGAGGAGGAGTCGGAGGAGACGGCTGAAAACTTCCTTGAGGGGCGCATTGATATCGATGAATTTTTAACTAGCTTCATGGAGAAGAGAACGGTGAGAGAAGCATCGATTTTTGATTTAACCAGCGTTTATATACAGTCTGTAAAGTCTTCAGCTATAAAACTGCATACGTGGATCAAATGAAATGTTCAAATGACCAGGATGAAGTGAAAAATGTAAAAAAAATATTCATGAGAACAAAAAATCCCACCCAATTAACATCAGAGATGTAATTAACTGAGCTTGTAGAGAGCAGTGATGGTTATAAAGTATGGTAGTTTTCTGATGCTGTTCCGCAGACTGCAGCAACTTTATCTGAAGGATCCATTTTTATGTTCATACGAATACTGTGCATTGATTGAAGTATTTGAGCACACTACTATTTTGCAAGTTCTTCCACTTAGGAATCACAGAGGGGTGTGAAATTGTCATCATAGGTGCATTTTCACTGTGAGAGACATAGTATAAAAAAAAAATCAGAAATCACAAAGTATGATTTAAAAAAGAAAAACTATTTATTTGTATTTTACAGCTCCAGATAAGTATTTGAACACCTGTCTGTAAGCTAGAATTCTGAGCCTGAAGCCTGTTGGTCTGCCTTCAAAAAGTCCACCTCCACTCCTTTTATTATCCTAAATTAGATGCAACTGTTTGTGGTCGTTAGCTGTGTAAAGACACCTGCTCATAAAGTCAGTAAGAATCCAGCTTCTAACTTGGCCAAGACCAAAGAGCTGTCCAAAGACACTAGAAGCAAAATTGAAAAGTTTGGAAAGGGCTACGAGGAAATTTCCAAGCAGCTCGTTGAAAAAAAGTCCTCTTTTGGAGCAATCAGTAGAAAATGGCAGAAGGTAAATATGACCATTAATTTCCCTCATACTGGGGCTCCGTGCAAGATCTCACCTCATGGGGTCTCATTGATCCTATAAGAAAGATGGGAAATCAGCCCAGAACTACATGGGAGGAGCTGGTCAATGACCTGAAAAGAGCTTGGTAATACACTAAGACATCATGGTTTGAAATCATGCATTGCATGACCATTTGGATGATCCATGGGAGTCATGAGAGAAAGTCATGTGGTCAGATGAGACCAAAATAAAATATTTTGGTCATAATTCAACTAACTGTGTTTGGAAGAAGAATGATGAGTGCCATCCCTACTGTGAAGCATGGGGGTGGTAGATTATGCTTTGGGGGTGTTTCTCTACATATGGGACAGGGCGACTGCACTGTATTAAGGAGAGGATGACTTGGGCCATGTATTGCGAGACTTTGTGGAACAACCTGCTTCCCTCTGTTAGAGCATTGAAGATGGGTCGAAGCTGGGTCTTCCAGCATCACAATGACCCGAAGCCCACAGCCAGGATAACCCAGGAGTGGCTCTGGAAGAAGCTTATCAAGGTTCTGGTGTGGCCTAGCCAGTCTCCAGACCTAAATCCAGTAGAGAATCTTTAGAGGGAGCTCAAACTCTGTGTTTCTCAGCGACAGCCCAGAAACCTGACTGATCTACAGAAGATCTGTGTGGAGGAGTGGGCCAAACTTCTTCCTGCAGTGTGTGCAAGCCTGGTGAAAAACTACAGGAAATATTTGACCTCTGGTAATTGCAAAGAAAGGCTACTCTACCACATATTAACATTGATTTTCTCAGGGTTTCAGATACTCATTTGCAGCGTTATCATACAAATAAATAGTTAAAAAATCATACATGGGGATTTCTCGATTTATTTTTTAGATTACGTCTCTCACAGTGGACACCCACCTGCGATGACAATTTCAGACCCCTCCATGATTTCTAAGTGGGGGAAAGGCTAAAATTGTGTTTTCTTTGTTTATGCATCTGACTAATGGAGTCACATGATTAGACACACGCTGCAGTGTCTTAAAGGGGAAGGAAATACCAGCCACCAGAGCAAACAGGAAAAACACCAGAATTAAGTGTATTTCTTTTACCTACATGGGGAAAATTGTCACTGGCTATCACAGTAATTGATGGTAACTGTAAAAATCTGGTTTATCGCCGAGCCATAGCAGGGAGATTCCTTACATAATGAAATGAAGAGTGGAAATTCACGAGTTGACCAATGGGACATTTTAAAACAGTAATAACACAGAAGAGTAATGTGGGAATTTTTTTCTTCTTTTTTTCTTTTGCTTTGCAGCTTTGCCACAGCAGAAGGGCCAAAGAGGAGAAGTTGCAACAGTCTATAAACACTCATGGTCATTTTCCTCCCAGTCACTAAAACACAAGGTACATCACATTCATACTAGAGCAGCCGCTCAGAAAAATCCCCAAAAACATTATCAGTCATCTGCTGCCTGATGGAGAGAGTCCTCATACTGTATTTCTCAGCAAACGGTTAAGCAGAAGCAAAGAACACTTTATTTCCTGTTGTTTTTACAGTCCGATACATTAAATTTATCATCTGCTTATTCAGCTCCTGACGTTCTATTTTATGATCTTCTAGGAGCAGTGTTTGTTTTTTTTGTTTTTTTTTCCAGCCAACTGCTGCCAACAAAATAAAATCAAAGACTTTACAGAGGCAGAAAGCACACTGAGTCAACGATGGGCACTTTGGAAAGAACATAACCAGACAATGATGACAATGAAGCCACTGAAAGAGGCAAGAACTGGGAGGACGAGGAGTTACGTCACCTAATGATTGAACATGTTGTGGAATGTTTTTTTTTTTTTCTCTTTAAGCTTTCCATTTGTTTTGACAGTAATGAAAAATAGTTTTATTTCTGGGATTTATTTCGCATTTAATTTTCAGCTAGGAACACTCGGATAGCAGATTGTTTGCTGTTACCACTTTTTAAAGGTAAAACTTCTAAGGCATCATCAGGATACAAATATTGAGCAATTCAAACAGCAGTATTATTACTGTGCACTTTCTGGTCACGTGCTTATATCCTCGTCGGTCTCTCCTTCTTTACACAGAGACGCTGACACAACTGCCCAGTAAATATCCAGATTGGAAATATTGATTTTTGGAATGTTAAAATTACAGGAACATTTGTCCAACATCTGGTTAACTAACCATAATTCTAATTTTAAAGTAAAAGTATCTTTCTTTTATATAAAAACTGCAGAAAGCAATGAATTCATTGTGATGGAATTGGATTTTATTCTAGAATTCAACCCTAGAAACATCAGTGTGTTTGCACAGACTTGCTGTAAAGAAATCATAACTTTTTAGCATTTCCTCAGCATTAGCCATGTTAATTTTATTTCACAAAATTCAAAGCACTTTGAGTAGTTTAGCCACAACATTACTTCAGTTCAACAACCTTAGGTGTGTCGTCTCTGTCAGTGCAGACACACTGATCACTGCTTGGGCTCTGATATGCACAGTAATGTCAGCTGAACTGTTTCCTTACACCATTTGAACTTAAAAAATAGTTATAAAAAAAAGCTTGAAAAGAAATGGGAAAGTTTGGGGAATATTAGGTTTAAAGCTTCATGGCATCGGATACTGTATTTAAATGTTAATAATAGGCTATATTATAATCAAAGACACCTTGTATCATATGTTCTTATTTAATTTGTTAGAGTAATAAAGCCTTTAGAATAAATCCTGTGTGTGTTATGTTTCATTTTACTATTGTGAAAAAGTTTAGACTACATGTAAATCAGTTGAATTCTCTTAAATGTCTCAATCAGCCCCCTGTTTTAATATGTAAAGTCCTAAGCTGCAATGATTTCAAATATGCAATGCCCAGTGTTTTATAATATCATGATTTTAGTGAAGATTTTACAGCATTTTCACATCAAAAGACTTGATCCATCCTTTTTGTATCAAATTGAATATCAACGTTATACATGTTTATTGTAGGCAAGGGAAAATTAGAGATGCAAAAAACTAACCTGCCAAATAACTGCAGCGTTTCGTCGTACAGTGTGAGTTCACAGCTCATGAAGCATGTGCAGCCCGACGCTCTGATCTGATCTACCTGCTCAGACTGCACATCTAAAAGCCACATCGGACTGGACCTGGAAAGAGATGGAACTACTGGGACTCCTCTATCTAGAAGCCAAACCAGTAGAAGAGGAACAAGAAGCTCACTACATTAAAACTTGCTGCCTTTGCAATTTTGTGTTTAAAGCCCTAAAAAGAAAAGGCGGCAACATATTTGAACAAAGGCATGGCTGGGCAAACGTGGTTACTACTACGGCCTGTCAATTTTAAAGAAAGAGCTCCATTTTAACTAAAATGCTTCTGTGTTTTCATCTGAGAGGAAGAAGAAGAATCCTTGTTTTTGCATGTGCACTGAGAGATTTGCCCATGACGGTTGACTGAAAAGCAAACATGTTTGATTTTCTCCTGATCTCACGATTCCTGATCGGGAGGTGGTTGTGAGAGGCTGATCGGCCCTCGTTACCCCCCCTATGCAAGTGTCCCGTATGCCAGTAGAGGATGCAGTGACATCGCAGGCCACCGTGCTCTGTGTTTACGGAAGTAAACATGGATGGTAGTGCATCTAATGATCTTTCCCAACCTTAAGAACACAATATTTTCAAGATGGTTAAACATAAATACTGCTCTCCACATCATTGTCTGCCATGGTTGTTTTTCTTGTTAATTCTTCATAGCAAGACCCAGAATAGTGACCTTTGTCGGGTACTGATGGCGTTCAGGTCGGATGAATGCGACCTGGCCGTTCAGACACAGGTCGCATTTGAAAAGATCAGATTCGTATCGGATTCAGGACCACATAGCCAAGTGGCCTGGGCCGCATTGGAGAAAAATCCGATCTGTGATGTTTAGACTGCCATGAAAAGATCCGATACAGGTCGCATATGGGCAAAAAAAAATTGGATTTGGGTCACTTATGGCTGGTGTGCTTGATCCGCTCATCTGAAATGTGGGAGGAAGATGGAGAGGCAGCTGGCGCAGAACAATGTCAGAGATGTGTGGAGAGCATCTCAGACTTTGGGCAGAGGAACAGCAGGGCTGCAGACGATGACACCAAGTTTGCATACGAGTTAACAATTCTTCACCCAGTTTGACTCACCTCACACTGACCCCTCCCTGCCCTCAACTCTCCTCACCTCTCCAACCTCCCAACTCACCAGAGATCCACCCTGACTCATCCATACCTTCGGACCTGCCTTCCCCCTCACAGTCACTTCAATGCAGGTGAGAGGCTAGCTGAGGAGACTGAAACAGAGGAAAGCCTCTGGACATGAAGGGATTCCTCCAAGGCTGCTAAGGAACCTGTGCAGATGAACTTTGTGAGATCCTCAGCTACATCTATAACCTGAGCCTCAGCCTGACCTCCTGTGTGGTATTGGTTCCCAAAATTCCACATGCCAAGGAGTTGCCATCATCTACCTGCTGCAGCGGGTGCTCACCCACCTGGAGACTACCGGGAGTGCTGTTATTCATGTTCTTTGACTTTTCTAACGCTTTCAACACCATCAGACCGGCGGGGGAGAAGCTGGAGGATGCTGGAGTGGACAAACATTTTGCTGCCTGGGCCATCAACTTCCTCACTTACCGCCCTCAGCACATGCGGCTGTACGGCTTTCAGTCAGAGGTGGCAGTCTGCATACCAGGGCCCCCCAGGGCACTGTTCTGTCTCCATTTCTCTTCACCATCTACACCTCGGACTTCAGCTATAACAAGGACAGCTGCCACCTTAGAAGTTCTTCAAAGACTCTGCCATTGTGCGCTGTGTTTCTGAGGGGAACGAGCTGGAGTACCGGTCAGTCATGCACTTTGTGGACTGGTGTGAGAAGAACGACCTGTGTCTTAACACCAGTAAGACCAAGGAGATGGTGATTAACTTCAGGAGAAGACCTCACCTCACGTCCACATGAACATCCAGAGGCAGGACAAAGAAACTGTGAGGAGCTTCAAATACCTGGATGTTAATATCAAAAATAAACTGGACTGGACTAATAACACTGACACCCTGTACAAGAAGGCCAGAGCCGCATCCACCTCCTGAGGAGGCTGAGGTCCTTTGGAGAGAGCAGGGCCCAGCTTAAAACCATCTATGACTCTGTGGTGGCATCAGCCCTCCTCTACTCTATTGTCTGCTGGGCCCCTGGCAGCACAAAGTGGGACAGAAAGAGACTGAACAAACTGGTGAAAAAGGCCACGTCTGTCTTGAGTTGCACTCTGGACACGGTGAAGGAAGTGGCTGAGAGGAGGGTGTTGTCCAAGCCTAAATTTATCATGGACGACTCCTTCCACCCCCTGCACCAGATTGAAGAGGAGCTGAGCAACTACTTTAGTGAAAGACACCGTGTTTGTTAAAAGGATTCCCCCCATCAGGTCATCAATCCCTGTAGCCAGCAGACTTTACAATTCGGCACAATAACTGCAATTATTGTGCATTAATTAACTCGCAATCACTATTTAATACCCTGTGCAGTGACCTGTATGTATTTAAGGGAAAAGTCCAGTCAGCAAGGAATAACCAATGGGTCATTATTTATACCTTAAACTACTTAATGAATGCTGTGATTTAATGAATTTAGCGCTAAACAGTAAAAAATAAAAATATTTTTGCCACAATCACTGAGTCCAGGAACGGCCATTTTTGCCCAGATACAGTAACGCCTCACTCCTGACATCTTCTGGCAGTGATGTCACGGAACAGTAAACCTAGCACCATTCTGTCCGCTTTACAAGCAAAATCAATGGGAACTACTAGACACATCTGCAATGAACAACAATTTAAGATTTTCAGAGGACTTCACCATTGAAATTTGCGATAGCTACAGTTAAACTGATAATGAGCATGTGCGTGGCAGTTGGATGTTGTAATACTCGGGTAAAAGTGGAAAAATTAATTTGTCTGATTCATGATCCTCCACGGACGGGTTCGTCGTTGGATTGCCAACTTGAAGAGGGAGGGTTTGCCATCGAACTTCTTGCCAGAGAAAACTACTTCAAGTAGTTCACTGGCTGTCACAATCATGGATAATAGCTCGTTGTGACAAACACCAGATTCTGCACTGGACTTGCTCAACAGCAGATACCGCACCGTGACGTCACAAACCGGTAGGCGGCAGTAGTGTACTTTGACAACTTTGATTTCTCAGGGAAAGCACATTCAAATTAAATTACTCTTAATTCAAAACACATCATTTATTTAAGAGTATGTAATAATTTCATACTTAAAGTACTTTCAGGAGTTTGTATTCTGAATGTGACCAGACATTTCCTTTAATACCCTGTGCAATAACTATATATAAATACCTATTTATACTAATACCTATTTAATACCCTGTGCAATAACTATATATAAATACCTATTTATACTAATACCTATTTAATACCCTGTGCAATAACTATATATAAATACCTATTTATACTAATACCTATTTAATACCCTGTGCAATAAAAAAAGACAAACGAGACTCCAGCCGTTATATAAATGTGGATGCACTGTATACGTATACCGTACTTTATATAACCAGATGCATCTTTTCCTCCTTTGGGCACCTTATTTTTGACTATTCAGCCGACGAGAAAAGTGAATTTCTCCACTGTCGGATCGATAAAGTCTCTTATCTTAACTGGTGATTTTAATCCCCCCATATTAAACTGAAATAAAACTTAAAAATCATTTTTTTTCAGTGGCCCTAATCCTCTTCCGTAAAATCCACATTAACATGAATTCAACACATTGTAGTAAAGAGATAAATGGAGTCTTTCAGTCATCAATGCACACATTCAGCAACACACAGGAGCTCTTTCAAGCTGGGCACCGTTTCATTCACAACATCTGTCCCATCAACCCTATGGAGGACCAACTCTAAAGGTAACATGTTTAAGAAATGCTAAATGTAATTAATGACTTTACTATAAAAGGGGGATTATATAAGTAAAGGAAACGTCAAGTAATGCTATTTTTGATCAATACAAACATTAGAAAGAATCTAGTTTGGTATTTTATTTTAATTTCCTCGCCACACTCCAGTCCAGCTGGTGGCGCTAATGCTCCTTTACAGGTTTTTCCAGCCGCCATTAAACACGAGAAGAAGAAAACTGAAGACGCGCTAAACCGAAAGAAAGCAGGTTAGCAAACTATTCCTTTTTCTGTTCACTTTTATAAAAGGGGGATCGATTGTCAGTGTTGTTTGAAAAGCGGGTAAGTATTTGAATATAAAATGAAACAATGTGTTTTAAGGATCTCCGCTCTGCCCTAGATGATGTTTTACTCTCTAAGACGTTAGAAGTTTAAACGTGCATTAATGCTGTTTTTTGTTTTTAATGGAGTTACACAGCGGAGATTAGATCTAATGCATTCTAACTCAATACATATCATCATTTAGTATTATTTTAATTGCAGACAATCTAAATAATGGAAAAGTGATGAACAGAACGGACTGATAATATTTATTTATGTGTAATATGGTAACCATGGTGTTCTTCTGATGCTCTTGATCACTTTATTTGCTTCCTGTAGATGTTTACAAAGACTAAACTAGAGTTTATGGGTTTAACATTGGTATTTGTTATAGCTGGTGATGTGAACACCTTTCAGCTGAGAGTTTGATGGTAATTTTGTCAAACTAACATGATTTCTGTTTTCATAATCCCTGATTCTCTCTGTTAGGAAACATGTCTAGGCAGCTGGGGGACCACCATCGGAGGTTTCTGCAGACCGTGATGACCATTGGCATCACCAGTGAAAAAGAAGCGAAGGCACTTTATCAGCACTGCTGTGAAACGCACAAGAGTGAGAATCTTTTCTACCCCTTTAATAAAGATTTGACTGAAGATGGCAGCTGGATCAGCAATCAGTGATCTCTGATGAATGCAGGGCTGTCAACTCTCACCCATCTCTGTGTTTTCACACGCTCTCATTTCATAATCCCAATTTCCCATAATAAAAAATGACAGGAATTAAAACTCAACTCCGTCTAGTTTAATAATCTCCAGTTGGCATTTAGGAGTAATTAAACCAACACAAATATTTTAATACTTAAAGCTTCCAGGTTTACCTCTCAAACCCATAGAAGCTCCACAAAAAGAAACAGAACAAATTGCATTTTATTTTTGATAAGATCAGCCACTCAAGAAAAGACCAACCGCATCCAGAGAGGATGTGCAGCTCAGTTATCCAGGATTCATAGAGAAGAAACCACAGGGATGTTCTTCTTTTATTATTACTGATCATATTCATTTATCTTTATTTTGGTCCATTGAAAATGTTAAAAACTTAATTTTCATCACACTTTCCAAACTGAAACATCCAGAGAAGTGCTGTCTCCTGTCATGGTGAGTTTATACTGAATCTACAGCCTTCTAGAAGTATGAATTGTTTAGCTGTTTTGTCAATTGTCAAAAAAAAAAAACAACTAATAAGATAATAACTTAAGATTTTAAATCCTTAGCCTATTATCAAATATTCATACACAGTGAAGTTGGCATAGGTTTCGATTGCACTGGTTCCTGTATCAGTGCCAGTAATCCAGTAATAGCTTATTAGTTGCCTATTGTTTAATTTACTTAAACTGTAGAGAATAATTAATGAGCAAGGTTGTGAAATTCTTAGTTTAATGTATATTTAATATGCAAGTATTTTAGTAGGGTCCATTCTGCTTTACTTTAATCTTCTAAAAATCAGCAGAATGTAGAAAATAATGTAAATTGTGAGAAAAATGTTCCACATCACTTTGGACCACTTATTGTTACTCAGTAACATTTACTGTGCTATAAAAATTCCACATTTTGCTGCTTTGTTTCAGTTAAATCCTCTGAAAACCTCCAACCTATAGCTGCATCCTCATGTAACCCTGACAGGGTTTGCTGTCCAAACTGTTTCTAAATCTCAGCCCAAGGTTTGATGAAAAGTTGGCAGCCCTGTGAATGTCCATCTCTGATCATTAGGCCAAATGTTTACATCACTTGAAAGAGGAGTACGAAAATATTTACTTTGTGAGTTTATTTGGACATAGATGAGGTTAACTAGAAATGTATAAATCTATTAATAAATGTACTTTGTTTTAACTGAATGTAGACATTTGAAAGCTGCAAACATTTGCTTTAAAGTTGTTTAAATTTCTCATAGAAAATCTTTTTTTTTGTGTGTTTTATTATTGCAGCACAGTGCGCTCCTGACAGACTGGAAGAGTTCATTGAAGCCATCAACTCCAGGCTGCAGCCCATGTTCATGCAGATTAGAAAAGGCATGTCTGAGGAAGATGGCCAACAGCACTACGCCTTGGTCAGTGGGTTTACGGATCTGGAGATGTAAAGCAAACATTGTTGTATGTGTATGTGGGGATTATAGCATTGGATTAAATAAAACAGAAACTCTGTGATGCCCTGCAGGTCAACACAGCGGAAACTGACATCACCAGGATGACGTCAGATTACGCGGACAACGAACTGGAACTGTTCAGAAAGATAGTGAGAAAAGTCTTTTCAGTTTTAGCTTCCAGTTTTAATTAAATGCTATAAATCTTGAATATCAATTCTATTAAGAATATTTGTAAATATCTGGTAACATATGCTTACTTATGTTTAGGAATGACTATAGTGTTTGATTTGTCCACCAAAATGTGTTGTTAATCTCTCCTAATTCAGATGGATTTAATTGTTAGCTCTGAGAACGGAAAGGCCTCTTCCACTGACATTCTGAACAGCGCCGACATGATGACATCTAAAAAATTGAAGAAAGGTGAAACACAGCAGCTTCTGCTTCGACTCGTTCAGGACAAGTGGCTCTGCGAGGTGGAATAAGAACCCTTTCTGTTTTTGCTTTCTGTTGGACATCTTTACATCTGAGCAGGTCTAAATTTGAATTATATTTTAGTCAGCTAATTGGATCAAAGCAGGCTGACTACAAATGTAGTAATGATATTCAAACTGTGTCACATTTTCTCACATTACAGCAAACTTCAATGCATTTTGTTGAAGCTTGGAAATCGAATAAATCTTATGTCCAGCCATTGACTGGGCCATTACAGCACATCTAAACATATTTTACTGTCAACCAATAAGCAGCAGCAGTGGTTTAGTCTGGATCTGCTGCCAGGATAACCTCCGCTCTAAAAAAGGCAGTTGATCTCCCACACTTGAGCTGTGGACCTTAGCAGCCCCTCCAGGGAGACATCAGACCTTCTTGCTGCTTGTCTCATTAAAGATGCCCTGTTGAATTTTATACATATCTGGGGGGAAAAAACACAGAAACCATACATTAATTTTAAAATGAAATGATATAGACCAAGTGTCCGATCTTGTTATCTGTTGCCATCTCCCATCAGTACTTACTCAGGCATCCTTCATTCTAGCAGCTTTAGCTCCCACTTCAGTTAGCCCCAATGTCCATATTATATTCTGCTCAGGTATTATCCCTTTTTCATGCAGTATTTTTTGCGCTTTTTGACTCTTGATCACAGACTTTTCTTTGTTTCCATGCATACATGGGGAAACGTTTACTTACTTGCTTCTGTTATTTCCTCGATCACATATTGTGTGCTTTGGGAGTATGGTACCTCCAGCAGAGTTACTGTCACTAGTGAATTTGTTAAACTCGGTATTGCATTAGTCATTACTTCATTTTAAACAGATTAGTTGTTCGTAACTTACCATGTATAAATAAGGACTAGAGTTTACTGGTGTAAGCCAACATGGCGCAAGTTACAGCTATGCACAACCTCAGCATGAGGAGAGACGGTGCTTTAGAGCCTCTGATTCCAGTTATCCTCAGCATGCTGAGGTTTTCTGTTATAACACATAGAAAAGGAAGACATCTTTAAAAATACTTAATCTATTTTATCTCCGTGTTATAAAAGAACAACCTGAAACAAATCCCAAAGGGGATGAACAGCATGGCATGTTTCTTGGTGTTGAGGGAATACGGTGAAGTTTATACCTACAGAGATAAAGTAGGAAAGGTTGATGAATTCTTTCCTTGCTTTGAGAATGTGTTTTTTTTGTTTAAAATGTTGTTTTTTCTGAATGCAGAGCCAGGGGGAGTACAATCTGTCCACTCGATGTATCATAGAGATGGAGCCATATATCCGTGCAATGTATCAAGACCAGGTGAAAGTCTGCCACATATGTCACAACATGGCCTTTCAGGTAAATCTATTCCAACTAAACATATATTAGGTGTGAAAAAATAATGGGATTAAGCGATTACAGAAATAATCTTCAACAGGGTTTCCACAGGTCGTTAAAAATCATTAAGTCAATTATATATATATATATATATATATATATATATATATATATATATATATATATATATATATATATATATATATATATATTGTTTGGTGTCTTTTTATTTGCACCTGCGTGCTTTACCAGCTGTAGTTAGTTAGAGATGCACTGATCCATTTATTTCCTGCTACGAATACGATACTGATTGTATGTTAAAAAAAGATATTAAAATAAACACAGATATATATGTACTTCATTGATTTATTAACAAGGAGGCAGCAAATATAAAGGAAATACAGTTTTGAATTAATGGGATCTCTGATATCGGATCAGTGCATCTCTATTGTTAATGCAGCCCTCTCCCCAGTTACTCAATGGTTCCTGTTGTCTCTTAAAAGCCCATCACTTCATCCCCAGAAACAGATTAAAAAAGGACTAGCAGATTCAACTCAATTATATATATATATATATGTATATATATATATATATATATATATATATATATTAGTGCTGTCAATCGATTAAATTTTTTTAATCGCGATTAATCGCATCAATGCCTGAGTTAACTCGCGATTAATCGCGCATTTTAATCGCACATTTTTTTCCTGATTGAAAATCATTTAAATACTCTCGATGACATACAAAAAAATACATACAGGCTAGGTTTGTGCCAATGTTCTTTTTTTAAAATGAAAACAGGTCACAGATACTGATTTATGCCAAAAATAACAAATATGTAGCCAAAAAAAAGGCCCTGAAAACAGGCTGATGTAAAAGACAGTCTTTACAGTTATTAAGCATTTTACCCTACTGCTATAAAATGCAGTAGAGTTAACATTAGATGTTAATTAACCAAGATAATAATGAACAATTTTCAATCAATACATCAAAATCAATAGACCGACATCACTAGATGGAGGTAGTCTATGCTCTAGAAAGTTACTTTTCAGCCTCTTAACAAAAATGAGAACACACAAGCACCCACCCACCCACACACACACACACACACACACACACACGATACCGACCTGTGGCGTACACAGACGGCAAGAGTGCTGTAGCAGATTCCATTTCACCTCAGTAATCTGTTTTCTCAGCGTATTTCAGGTTGCTACTAGTTACCAGACACTCAACTTGTTTGTTGGTGGTGGGGCTTAAAGAAAAGGCACTAGCGCTACCCAGTGTATGAGCGTCTTTTTCCCTTGAGGAGGTCCGCTCTCGAAGCCTATGAGAAATGCATACACTGGGGGAAAATAGCCCCGCCTTCCCGCAGGCTGCAGCGGGATGTACTTGGAAAATTGTACCATAAAACCACATAGCGTTAATCTCACGTTAAAAAAATTATCGCCGTTAAAATGGCCTCGCGTTAACGCGATAATAACGCGATAATTTTGACAGCACTAATATATATATATATGTATATATATATATATATGTATATATAGCAGATTCAACTTTACTATCCAACTGCTAAACATAAAAGAAGCATAAATTGAACTTATTCAATAAAAATGATTGTCTCTATTCATTCCTTGGTTTTATTGTTTTAAAAATACATCTCCATAAATGCCTAAAGTTGTTCAGATATGAAATAAAAAGCTTGTTATATTTAATACAAAAAAAAAAATACAAGTTTTGAAACTTATGGAAAGTTAACGGTAGAATAAAGCTTCTTTCCTCTTTTACCAAAGTGCCAGATTTGTGAGAATCCCTCCTGTGGAATAAAAATCCACAACCCTTGTGTGGCCAGATACTTCAAAGGAAGAATGGAGCCTCACTGTCCAGCCTGTGATGACTTTTGGCCCCATGAAATCCCTGGTATATGTTGCATATTATTACATCATAACTAGGAATAACTGTTAACATAGTTTTACTTTTAGTCTAGGAAATGGCAGTCATCTTGTAATTTTATTTCTAGTAATACATCTATATAAATTATATATAGCCATGAAGTAATAATATCAGTATTTTCCTGTTCTGTAGTTTAACAGACATCTCGTATTCTTTGCTCTCCTCTTTTGCAGAAGTAAGAGAGCTCCATTCTTTGTCCAAAAGATGACGACCCCTCTGCATTGTTTTTTTAATTGTTTCATATTTTTCACAAGGTTTGTTATAGCCTCTATTTTTAAATATTATCTATATTTCCTCAATTTTCTATGGAAATAAACTAAATTTTATTTTATTGTTGCATTTAACTTGCATCCAAAGATCTTGCATCTACCTGTTAAAAAGAAAACCTTAATTTAGTGTTTAATAGCTTTTCCTCTCTGATGTAATTTATATTTCAGCTTGATTCATGTCTGTCCAGATTTTGTAAATGGATTCATAATATTTGCTATGACTTCATAACATTGGTTTTTAACTAAGAATAAAACGTATTTCTTTTTTATTAAATCCTGTTTTTTATTTTTTAATACATCTACATTTTAGATTGGGAAAAATATGTAATACCATGAAAGCACTAATAAAAGGATTTCTTTGGGGCTTGTAATATATATATTTCTTTCTTTTAAGAGTGTAATCCATGAAACTTTTGATAATATTTTAAGATTATGTCTAAAGAAAGACCAAAATAACTTTGATCTAACCAGTGAAATCAGCTAGTAAGAGAAACAGTCATATTGACCCTGTGATCTCAACTAGTTCTCACCTTCACCTTTGAAACGGTCTCAGACAATTTAAGGTTGTTTTATGAGTGAGTCCAGTATTTCTGAGAAATAAAACTTTTTTTATTTTTCAAAATGATTCTTTACAGGTATAGGAAACAAAAATTGACCCCATTAAAGAAGCAAAAGCCATGAGTTTTTATTTTTTTTTTACAAGCATTAATACAACTATATTTTATTGAGGATCAGAAAGTGAATACAGTGATCAAATCTATGCTTTAATATTTTCAAGAGGAAGCAATACATGAAGTTGATCATTTGCCTAGATTTTAAGATCAAGATATTTCTTATTAAAGTTTTGTCTATTACAATTTTACAAATAAACTTAATTACTTATTTAAAATCTCTCTTTAAATGTCTTAGCATATGTCCAAAAATTAAATATGGAGACTGATTTGGTCATTTCAAACTGTAACATGTTAATGATTTAAACCTTTTGATATAAACAGTGAAACCCATCATCATCATCATCCTGCTCTAGCTGCAGCCTATTTTCTCTCATATCTCTGCTGACAATAATCAGATGCATAATAAGTCCCAGTTCTGCTTCTAAAACCATGTGACAGGAGTTTCTCCTGCCGGTTTACAGTTTAAAATTTTTAGTCTCTCTAAAGCAGATGTAACCAATTAAAAATTAGTGGGGTCTGAATAAAGAAAATCATCAACCAGTGAAGGTCCGGAGACATTTATAATTATAATCTGTTACTTTAAAAAGAATTAAACACTGAAATAAAAAGCAAGTTTTTATGCATCCATTTTATACATTGAAAGTTTAAATAAAAAGACATAAAAAAAGAATTTTTCCAATATAAAATCTAAAGTGTTTTTATTTTTTTATTTTTTAGTAGACAACAACAATTGTTCAGTTCGGTATTTAGACAATTTCCTGATTCACATCTTTTATAAAACACCTGAACTGACTGTTTGTTATTTTTTTTCTTTTTATGGCTTAATTAGAGCAGTGGGCTTTATGCTGCCCTGCAAGGCTTTAAGCCTGGGTTTAAATTGAGACAAAGCCATTCTAAAGCACATATCAAGGTACTCATTTTGAGCCTGGATCCATATTTATTTTTGATTCTGTTCATGGTGGAGAATTCTGCTTCACAGCAACAGGTTGAGCCAAACATACTCTAAATGTTCAGGGTCATCTTTGATATTGATATTAACAGGAGAAGCTGCGCAAGTGAAGTTAGACACTGCTGTATGCAATAATTTATAAACATTTTAAATCAGGTTGGGTCTAGATCCGGACCGCAGTCCGCTAATATTTGACCTCTGCTCTAAAGTATATTTATGTGAGAGCAGTCATCCTTAAGGATTTTCAAGGTGACTATTAAATAAATACTTTTTCTGAACCAGGGATAGAAAAAGGCATATATTATTGGATTCAAGCAGGAATTAAAATACACCATCCAAGACACGATTGCCCAAGACGAGGCATTGTTGGAGATGTCTTGCCCTGCAAGAGACGGGTAATAATACGGACAGAAAGTCATTAGAAACATGAATATAACGATACCGAGAGTCCTGGCTGCTTTCTTCTCGGATTTCTTTGCTGTGACTGTGAAAGCTGCCACCTGAGACCGCATGGCTCTGGCCTGCGACGCCGCCTCTACAAACACTCTCATGTACAGGAGGACGATAACCGAGCAAGGGGCGATGAATGTGAACACAAGGTCGACGGTTCCTGAGACGTAGCTAATGACCACCAGACACTCCCCGTAGCAGGAGTTGTATCTGTCTGGCTGCCTGAGATGGTCCTTCAAGATGACGCCGTTGTACAGGAGAGAGCAGGCCCAGCAAAGGCTCACAGATACCTCAGTTCTGCTACGAGTGATTTTAGTGGTGTACTGCAGGGGAAAGCAGATGGCGACGTAACGATCCATCGAAATCAGCACCATGTTCCCCACAGAGGCTGAGGTGAGAGTGAAGCCAACAATGTAAGACAGAGCACACATGGCTTCCCCCAGCAGCCAGCAGGGCTCAATGAAGCGCACCACTTCCACCGGCATCACCAGCAGCCCCACCAGGAGGTCTGAGGTGGCCAAGGACAGCAGCAACATGTTGGTGGGGGTCTGCAGCTGTCTGAAATAAGAGATGGAGATGATCACCAGCAGGTTTAATGCAACAGTGACAATGGTGATGGAGGAGAGCAGCGTGTAGAGCAGGACGGCCTCAGAGCGAGGTCGCTTCACTCCGCTGCAGGACCTGTTCAGGAGCTGAGGGTAGCAGAGTTCAGCCCTGTCCAGGTTGTCCTCCATGATCTTTCAGGGTGGGGCACAGGGAGAGCTGTTAACCTCACTAACTAGACTCACTGTGACTTCTTAACAATTGCTGCTTATCTCTGCTCCTTTTTATGCCTGCTAAGCTCCTTACTCTCTGCTGCATCTGCATGCAATACACCCTCCTTTGCATTTCTCTGCTCCTCTTGTTCTTTCTCCTCCTCCTCCTCGTGTTACCCTCCACCCCAATTATCATTATGTATGATGCAAGACTTAGTGTTTCTTGTCATCTCTAAAACATCAGAGTGCTAATATCACATAGAAAATTATACACAAATGTGCACACTCCTGCTAAAAGTTTTAGCTTTTTCTCCTTATTGTCCTGTATTACCAAAATGTAAAAAGCTGCAATAAAATGATTGTAAAGGTTTGCAAACCTATCATCCAGTCCTGTATCCTAAGCATTAATTATAGAGATTATGCAAAGCTGTTTCTGATTTAGCTCTACACAAAAGGTGTCTTCTGTTCTATGACTCAAAAACATCACCTAAACTAACTACATGAGACGAATGTGAGAGGATTTGGAGTCCTATTTTAGTTTACTGCAACATGGCTCCTCATTTCTTAGCAGCGATGATTCTAGACCCAAGTTACCAGAGAGGCCAGGATAGAGTCAGTTTTATTGTGGAGGCACTGAACAAAAAAGCATGAAACCAAAAATGGGACAATAGTTAATTGTTCATATATTAGGTGAGACACAGTTTCATAGAGGAACTTGTGACTCTGGAGACCCCAGATATAGCAGATAAACAGTCGGGGTGCATATGGGTTGATTTTCTTATTTTGGGAGATCAGATGTTTCACATCTAAGCATCTAGAACCTTATCTTGAGCCATTAAAGCAAGTTTTTATTGTTTAACAGGTAATGTTCTTTATTTTTTTAATATAATGAGATTGAAATCAAGGTGTGTTATGATCTTCTAAAAAACATTTAAAGTAAACATCGGTCAAAATCTAAATCGGCATGTTAGCTTTTTAAAGATGGTTTATTAGCCAGATTATGTCAATTGATGCACCTCTAACACTATGATCCAATCTGAATATAACCAAAGCTAACTGTGCAACAGCTTGCTTTCATGTCCCAGCACATAAAATCAGAAGATATTTATTCTATATTGCTTTCTTCACTTTCATTTTAGTTCAACCTTGTTTTTGTTTTTTTAACTAATTGCCTGCCTCAGCTTTTTACCTGCTGTCAAAACCTCTACAGCTCTCACCAATGTTTGGTTTGATTTTCTTTTTTTTTCTGTCTGACAGAAGGTATATTTGCCATTTTTTTGTGATTTTCCAATTTTTGTGGGAAGAATTCAAAATCAAAAGTCCAGTTGTCCGTAGAATATATTGTTTAACTTATTCTTTCGAATGAAGACATATTTTTCAAAGAGTTTACAAAATATCAAAATGATTTGCAATACAATGAAATATAAAGCTCTGTGAAATAATTAGAGCATACAAATATTTAATATAAATGTAACCAATAGTCACAAATGTGAGCAGTAACGACACCATAAAACTTGCATTTTTATTATTTATATATAATTATTTGTAAAAATAATGAAACAAAATGGAATATCTGGTGATTAACATGTCTTCTGCACATTATAATGTACAGAATAAATGAACATTATTCATCAGCTGCCTAAAGAGTTTCCCTTATTAAACCTCTGACATAGTTAAACTAGTATATATGTTTTATGTTCTTTTTCTTTATTTTATTAGTAGCATTACACCAGTGAGTTTCACAGACCAGAGATGTAAATAAGCTACCTGGCTATAATCCCACTCATTTACATGGTAACAATTATAATGTTTCAATGAACTCAGCATTAGGTTTTTGCTCCTGACTGTGAAATGAGAGCAAATATGATGGTGAGATCAGAAGAGATGTTTGAGGCCTTCAGGTTGTCAGTCTGATAAGGGGTTTATATTCATTTGAATTTCAATACAAGCCAAATATTCTACCTGATGAATCAAGACCATTCCCAAACCATTTTCTGAGAGCAGAATGGAAGATGCTACAACATCAGTCTAAAAACTCAGTAATATCTAAACAATAGAGCTTTGAGAGGCTGTTAGTGCTTTTAATGGAGAAGTGTGAACTTTTACAATCAGTATAGAACTGCACAAGTCAAAGTGCCATTGGAGGGGTGTACAAGAAGGAAACCTTTGATCTTTAAGAAATAAAACATCAATGCAAGAGAAAAATTAGGAGTAGAGACCTTAAACAAAGACTAGAGATTCAGAAATGTTAAATTTATCTAAAACTTAATTGTTTGGTCACCAGAACAGAGGTCAGGTTTGGGATAACCTGGGTACAGTTTTATTTAGAGGAAGCCCTTAAGTGGAGAATGGAAGAGGATCATAATTTGGTGATGCTTCCTTTCAGGGTTTAGCATCAAAGCATCCATCATGAGTTGTAACAGAGGGCGCCGAGTTCAGGTTCTGGTCAGAGCCACGATCCTGATCTCAATGAGCTGCTGTAAATAGGTGGTACATGCAGGACAGCTCAAAGTAAAGCCTGAGGCAACCCTTCATCTGACTGGTTTCATCCAAGGTTATTTAAGTTGCCTGGGTGCAAATAGCCGTGCTTCTTTTTCAGAGGTAAAAAAAAAATAAAATTAGGTGGCGATCCGTGAACTTTTTAAAATAAAGGGCTGAATATTGAACAGGTTTCCATACATTGTTTGTTTTCAGTTTGCTAATAACTATTCAAGCTTTGTTCTTTCAGCACATCAGTCAAGATATGCTCTTGTAGTCCTCTGAAGATGTTTGTGAATCAGTTTTTCAGTGCGACAAGAAGGTGGATGCACTTTGAATACAAAGTCACTGAATTCCCTGTACTGGAGTTTCAGGTTTTTTTGTCTTTCAAATAACACGTTTGAGAGGATGTCTAATTGTGTATAAGAAATGTGTTGGAAAGAGAAAAGCTAAGCAGATAAATGTCCTGAGATACGTACAGCTGGGGCTTTTAAGGTCTGATCAAACAGGCTAAACTGATCCGACATTTCTTTGTGTTGTTTAGGCCAAATTTAGAAATGAGGAAATTCTTGTTTGCAGTGCACATTAGTGGGCAAAATATTTTACAGTCCAAAATGTTGTCCATTTTATAAGAATTCTATCTGATTGTCTAAAAGAAAACAGAACAAATTGCATCATGAAGTATAAAATTGAATAAAAAAAATGATTTTTTTGGAAAGCCACAAACAAAACTTTTAAAGCCTTAATATACTATGACACTATTGTTTTTTTTAAATCTTTTAATTTGATTGAAAAAAAAGCTTTAACACATCCAGTCCTTGAGCGCGCCTCTACATCAGGATCTGCAAGGTGCTGAAAAGGATTTCTGTGATTTCAGGTCAGAAACACTGCAGACAAAAATACAGTCATGAAGAGATGCTAACGTGGCATGAAGTTATAGACTTGGACAGATTTGTCTTTTTGTTTACACAATTGTAAAACAAAAAGAAATTTAATTTAGAACAGCTCTCTGGACAACTTCATTTTTTTTTATGTGCAGCCTTGAAAAATAGTAAAAATATATATATAAAAACAGTAATATAAACATATGACTGTAAATTACCGGTTCTAACATTTTCAGTTTTTTTAAAATAAAACAATATTTAAAACTCTTAACACTTCACCACTACTGTGAGTTGTGGTATTTATGGAGGAGAGGAAAGGAGAGTCACTGTTGAAGCAATGAAAGTAAAACTCCTGTTTACAGTTTGACATAAAGTCAAAACAGTTAACAGATGACAGTCTTCTGGACAGACAACCTAAAATGAACTTTTTGATTTACATATTTATGCATCAGCCTTTTAAACCTCTCTATCAATTAATTTCCTTATTTATTAATGAAGTGTTTTTGAATAGAGTTAAATGAAACATGGTGGTGGAAGCAGCATGCTGAGTGATTACAACTATGAAAGTTCAGTGGTTGTGTGCATTTTTTGCAAAGTTTTGTAAAAATAACTGGCTTTGTTCTGATAAGATAGTTTCCTTTATCTATAATAGACACATAACAGTATCTAAATGAACACTAGTTTAGTTGTTGTTTTTAATTCCACTGTTACTGTCACTGGATAACAGCTGTTTTTATTAAAACAGTTCAGAATAAAAACTGCCGCTAGAGGATTACCGCGAGATTTCAGGCTGAAATGTTCAGGTTTATATCTATCCTGAATTTTCAAACAGAACAACATCATTAAAAACACAGTTTGATTGTTGTTTTGTTCTTTTTATTTTTTGAATTTGTCAAGTTTTTATTCAAGATAATTTTCAATAGTCACAAGGAAAAAGGTTGCATCATTTGTTGTTGTAAAAGTGTATTCATCAACACCTCAGATAGCAGTTCACCTGTGGTTTGATGTGTTAGCGGGTATAATTACAAGCCGATATCCCTCTGGAACATCAGCTAAACAACAACCTAACGCTTTGTTTTCCTGTGCTAGTGTATCATCTGAGGAGCTGTCAGGTTTGTGTTCTTCTCAAGTAACAAGTTAGAGTCTTATTTGTGATGAACAGTATTTCTCAATGTCAAATGTTTAGATGGTTTATCACAATCATCAGTGTCATAAATGTTCAGCCCAGTTGATATATATATATATATATAATATATATATATATATATATATATATATATATATATATATATATATATATATATATATATATATATATATATATATATATATATATATATATATATATATATATATATATATATATATATATACACAAAAACACGTGGAGAGAAGCCGGTACATCAGTCATGTTATGGGGTGCCCAAAAGAAATCTAATAATCAGAAAATGTGAAAATAGAGTTTATTGAACTTTGTTACTCTAAAATATATTCTTGCATTGTCAATGCAAATGATTGTGATGCTGTTATTTTATAGTTTTAACCTCAGCAAACTACTGCTTGGAAGTAGAAAAGGCACTAAAACAATTTGATGTTCATTCCCTTTTACCATCCAAAGAAAAAAAACTGGAAATAAAACATAGTTGCTCTTTGGACTCTTTGGACTTTCAAACACTGGATAATGTAGAAGACAGCAGAATGAAAATAAGCCACTTTCTTCTCTAATCATGTGTTATATCA